CTCTGTTAGCGTTTTTACGTGGCGTCTTCTCGGCAACTGAAACGACTGGAGTCTGTGAGCCGCTCTCCGGTCTACACACACTTCAATGAAACTCTGCTGGGCACCAGTGTGATCCGAGCGTTTGGAGAGCAGCAGCGCTTCATCAGGGAGAGTGACGGCAGAGTGGACCACAACCAAAAAGCTTATTTCCCCAGCATTGTAGCTAACCGGTGAGAACTCCCAGAACCTCACTAGGTTTTAGATCTCATTTACTTAGATATGTTAGTGTTTTGTTGTTTGGGAAGTTGAAGTTTTCTGTGTGTCTTCGTGCCTCTGTGTCTTGGAGATGGCTGGCGGTGAGGTTGGAGTTTGTGGGGAACTGTATTGTGACATTTGCAGCTCTTTTTGCTGTGATGGCCAGGGACAGTCTGAGTCAAGGAATCATGGGGCTTTCCATCTCCTATGCGCTGCAGGTCAGTCTGACATCTACAAATGCTGAGATACAAGGCAGATGTCCACCCAAGTTCTTACTATTCTTGTATTTCACACAGGTCACAGCATCTCTGAACTGGTTGGTGCGGATGTCCTCTGAGCTGGAGACTAACATAGTAGCGGTGGAGAGGGTGAAGGAATATGGAGACACAGAAAAAGAGGTCTGTGTACCAGCAGGGAGATTGTGTGCGATCATTCTGTACTTCTGTAGAGTCCAATCTGTGATTAGCCTGGTTTCCTTATCTCACTCTGTACTAGAAAGATAAGCACAGTTAGCGCACTGGGAGGGGCGTGGAATAGTTTACAGTCGTGCTCAGAATGAATGGCACCCCTGGTAAATATGATCAAAACTGGCTGTAAAAAATAAATCTCCGTCTTTTATCCTTTTGATCTTTCATTAAAAAAAAATTGGCAAAAATCGAACCTTTCATTGAAGTAAAATAATTGAAAGTGGGGGGGAAATCACATCATAAAATAAATGTTTTTCTCCAAAACACATTGGCCTTAATTATTGGTACCCCTACCACTTTTCTTCACTAGTTTATTTTAAATGGAGATGCAATGTGACAAATTGTTTAAGTACACATATGCAATGTTCCTTTATAATTATTACATACACGTTACATTAATTGTATACACTAGCATTCAAAAGTTTGGGGTCAGTTGTTTTTTTGTTTTTTTTGTGAAGAAATTAATTCAGTGAGGATGCATTAAAATGAGCAGAAGTGACAGTAAATGCATCTAAATGTCACAAAAGTTTTCTTTTTTAAATAAATACTAGTTTACTAATAACTTTCTATCCATCAAAGAATCCCGAAACAAAAATGTGTCACGTTTTTCAAAAAAAAAAAAAAAAAGCTTAATTTTTTTTTTTAATAATAATAATAAATGTTTCTTGAGCATCAAATTGGCATATTATAATGATTTCTGCAGGATCATGTGACACTGAAGTCTGGAGTAATGATGCTAAAAAAGATTTCACAGGAATAAATTTATTTTAAGTTGTAATAATATTTCAAAATATTACTTTAGTTTTTACTGTAAAATAAAGGCAGCCTTGGTGAGTATAAGAGACTTTCAAAAACATCAAAGAATCATATCAACCCCAAAAGTTTGAAAGGTAGTGTAATTAGCAGATTAAAATAGTATTAGATGTCTCGTCTGCTATGAAACATTATGTCAGTTCATGTGTTTCAGTGTTAAAGATGGATTGTTGAGATGTGATTGGTCTGTGCTGTGTTGATGTCCCTGTACACAGGCTGAATGGAGGTTGGAGAATTCAACTCTTCCTGCAGGCTGGCCGACCGTTGGTCACATTGAAATCCGCAACTTTGGCTTGAGATACAGAGAGGACTTAGAACTGGCTATTAGTGATATCTCAGTCAACATTGAGGGAGGAGAAAAAGTGGGTGAAACCATTTCAAAATCTGTTCATGCTTTGACTTTATCAGTAAATAATGTTCATTTAGGAATCTTTTCACCTACAAAGTCAATCATGTTTGTATGCTTAGGTGGGAATTGTGGGTAGAACCGGAGCAGGAAAGTCCTCTCTGACATTAGGCCTCTTCCGCATCATTGAGGCTGCTCAGGGCGAGATGTGTATAGATGGAGTGAACATTGCTGAGCTGGGCTTGCATGAGCTGCGATCCAGAATCACAATCATTCCTCAGGTATCGCACTTAAATGGATCTAAAAATGAATTTAAGTCAAGCATTTCCTGTAATCAATAATACAGGTGTCACATTGTTGGTTTCCTTTCGGAATATCATTTTTCCCCAGTTACCTGCCAATATTAATTGAACTATGCTGTTTTGTGTCTTTTTCATATATATCCACCTTGCTCCACTATCTCAGGATCCCGTGCTGTTCTCAGGTTCCTTGCGTATGAATCTGGACCCCTTTGATGGGTACACTGATGAGGAGGTGTGGAGATCTCTAGAACTCGCACATCTCAAGAACTTCGTGTCCGGCCTTCCTGACAAACTCAGCCATGAGTGTTCAGAGGGTGGAGAGAATCTCAGGTATAAACCCTTGACAAGATTCCTCCCTCTTTATAACTTGACTAATGCCTGATCTGATTGTTTCTGACTGGATATTCTGGGCTTTAGTTTGGGTCAGCGGCAGCTGGTTTGCCTGGCTCGAGCTCTCCTCAGGAAAACCAAGATTCTGGTTTTGGATGAAGCCACTGCAGCTGTGGATCTGGAGACGGACAATCTGATACAGTCTACCATCCGAACTCAGTTTGAGGACTGCACCGTTCTGACCATCGCACATCGCCTCAACACCATCATGGACTACACAAGGTAATCTGCATACTTATTCTTTGTTTTTGGCATAATGAATCTGCAAAAATATCAAATAAAAAATGTTTTTACAATGTTTTATTATATAATGATATTTATGATATTGATATTCCTTTTTTTTCTAAAGGGTGCTGGTTCTTGATAAAGGCAAGATGGCAGAATTTGATTCTCCATCCAGTTTAATTGCCAAGAAGGGAGTTTTCTACAAGATGGCCAAAGACTCAGGTTTGGTCTAATAATTAGAGGGTCTCAAGAGCCCCCTGTTCATCTAGAACATATCACTGGGTAGAGCCCATGGAGAGTGGACCTGGCGAGAGACATGGACTCTGAAGGTACCTCTTCTGTGGGCCTGGAGCTCTTACACACACATACATACATACACAGGGTGAATATGACACCACTCTCTTCTTCCACTCCTCAGCTACTGTAGCCCTCTGTTTTTCAATCGTGTTTTAAGGATTTGCTGCTTTTGAAGGTTGTTTAAAGCCAACATTTGCGATTTTTGAAACTAGTTTGATTTCTTCATCACTGTATTTGTTGTTAGTTTTCATTTGAAAGACCTCTAATTTGAATGCTAAACCATGCTTTTTCTGGTAGTTGGTGATGAAAAACTTTGTTTGCAACATTGTTTCACTTGAAAGAGTACAGAACAAAGTTTCTCTGTGCAGTGCACCTTTGATGCAATGGTCAGTTGTGTACTGACCAAACAGCTGCTGTGAAATCCCTCCGTGAGCGTGAGGGGCTTCATCCCACGCCAAAGTTCATATTTAAAGCTATTCTCATCATCAAAGTAAAGTTCTGTAAAGAGACTTTTGAGTTTTATCCATAGCCATTGTTTTCTCTCTATTCAACTTTATTTATATTTCAAAAATATATGTTACAATATATTTCTTTTCTTTCATATAATATTATTTGACCATATGACATATTTATTGCTGGGTATTACCCACTGATGGTGACTAAGCCTCGTCTTACCATTATCATGCGGTAGGGCATTGACTGCTTTCATTGGTGAATGTATTTAGCTACCGTATTTGACTTATGATCCATGTTTACTGCTATTGTTTTTCAGTGATCCTTTTACCAAAAACAATGAATGCACTTATTGGTCTGTGTAAAAAAAGGTCAAACCACCCTGTTTTGGTGGGGGGTGATATTGTTTTTAATTTAGCAGGATGTATACTAAACCAATTTAAGTTCAGATACCCAAATTGTAGTAGTCCTGTAAGGACAGGTTTTCATGCAGATGGCTGTACCTGCTGAACTGTGTGCTGTGTGCTTCACTCGGTGTGCTGTATACCATATATCTGTTGAATGTACGCTTGAGTGCGCCATGCTGTTTCATTCATCAGTTCCTCCGCTCTAGATCATTTAAGCCTTGAGTTTTTTTCAAGGCCAATTTTTTTTAAAAAAAGAACTGATAAAGACAGACTTTAAATGGAAAAAAAAGTTACAAACTTGTATGATTTATATGTAAGCATAAAGGTAATTATTTGATCTTTGTATAGATGCACTAGTTTTAAGTGTACTTAGTTTCATAAATCAATCTATGTAACGGGGAACTATGAATAAATTTTTGTAAAGAGCCCGTGGTCTGTTTTACTTACCTTGTATCTCAACCGTTTAAGAACCTGTTTTCTTACTTTGTCAGAGAGAGAAAGAAAACTATTACCGGTACTTTAATCAATACTACCAACATTTATTTTAAGCTTTTCAGAGAATAAAAATAGCATTTTCAAGTCTGACATTCACACATGAAGTGTGCATGGAAAGGTTATAAATATATAAAAATACAGTTATCATACAGTACAAAATACATAAATACTGAAAGTTTTAGAGTATGGAAAACATACTAGTATTAAAACGGCAACATAACATCATGACTTTTGCGTAAACATAAACACCACTTTCGAGTCAAGTGGCGTGTTATCTCTACGCATTTTGAGCTATCCGCGTGTATGTCTACGCGATTAATGTCAGAGTGATTCCGCGTGTCAGTACACTCCGTCAAATGTCCGAGCGAAACGAAGTAAAATGTAGATCTACATCTGGGGAGCGATCTTTTTTTTTTTTTTTCCTAGGATGGTAGGGGAACACTCATAAATGCCATTAACCCCCGTGATGGTTAGGTTTAGGGACGGGGTTGAGGTAAGTCATATATTTATATATACAGTAATAACGTTAAGTCAACGGCGTTCATAAACACGCTGAAAAGCGATTTTGCGTGTTGATAGCACGCCAAAAATGGAAATACGAATTGGCGTGTCATACACGCACTACTTCATGAGATCAGTCTGAAAACAGACAAATTCTTTATAAGAATGACTGTTGCATTGTTTTTAACTTGAATCGATGTTTCTCACATCATAAATAGCTTACAGCTTTCACCTTTTATAAGAATTTCGGGTTTAATGTGCTGACATGATGATTAATAAACTCCTTCAAGTAGAATTGACTAGTTCTATAGCTGCGTCTTTTCAGGATCTTCTACAAAACTTCAATTTGACAGCAATGAGAGATGGTGAACATGGCTATGCATACCATCTGAAGTGTGCATTATTTTGACCTACTCAAGTCTTCATATTCTGAGATGAATGAATGTTGACGTCATTAGACAATCAGTCTGTTCCTTTAGGATCTCAGTTGGACGTGGACACCTGCTCTTGTAGAACGGCTATTACGGACAATACCTCTTCATCCTGAGCTTTGTGCTTCTCTTGATTGAGAAGGCAAGGCATGTCCTTTGGTAAGTACTGTGATGAAAAGATTCAGGTAGTGTCAGAAGGTGTATTGGTGAGATGTTCTGCACTAGGGGTGTGCGATATGACGATTTTTAATCGTGGACGATTAAAATGTCTCCACGATCTGCTTTTGAAGAAATATCGTAGTATCGTGTTACAGTGCATTCTATCAGTTCAGTTCTGGCGCCTCCGTCTCTCAACTGTACAACGCGACGTAGCCTACACATGATCACACGTTAAGGAATAGGTACGGGACACTGCAATTCACAAAAGTTCATTATTTGCATAAGCCTTGCCGGTTAAACATTTAATTCACGCGCTTATGCGCTTTTCTAACGTGCGCTTTCCTGACCGCATAACCTCCGACGCTCACAGGCACTAGAAGCCTGAAGTCTGTCAAACAGCGCCTGAATACTGGACTAAGTTATCTCTCGAGTCTTATTACGCTAATACTGTTAAATACACACAATGTTTACATAAACAGGCTATGTCTAAAGTGAAAGCAAACATTTGAGACAATATCTGGTGTAATATGCGTCTATATTAAACGCGTCGCGTGCTGGTCTAAAAGCCACAGGAATAAATATTACTGCCGCTTGTCCTTAAAGGGATAGTTCACAAAAAAAAAAAAATAAAAAAAAATAAAATAAAAAATCCGTCATTATTTACTCACTCTAATGTTGCTCCAAACCTGTATTAATTTCTTTCTTGTGCTGAACACAAAAGACAATTTTTTTTTTTAATGTGGGTAACCAAACAGTTGCTGGTCCCCATTAACTTCCAGGAGAGAACCTATAAAAAAAAACTATAGGGGACCAGCAACTGTTCGGTTACCCACATTATTCAAAATAACTTTTATTTTCAACAGAAGAAAGAAACTTATTCGGGTTTAAAACATCTTGAGAGAGTAAATTAAGAAAATTTTGCAACTTGCAAAATATTAAAAGCAACTTGAAAAAGAATCGTGATAAAAAATCGTGATCGTGATTTTCCTGAAAAAATCGTGATATGATATTTTTTCCATATCGCCCACCCCTATTCTGCACCATTATTTTCATAGTCTCACGAGTGAAGAGTTGATTCTGTCACCGGTGGTTCTTTTATAGGATCACACTAGCCCAGCCTCGCGGCACATTCGGTAGAACTGACCACGCTGAGCGATCAGATTGGATGGAGAGTCCATCTCTGTGATGTGCCCTCTGTCCATCACAATCACCCTGTTGGGAACAGTTGAATTGGACTGGGTTAGGACATTGTCGTCAATCATAATTGTATTCTACTTAGAAATACACATGTGCAATTTTTTTGCACCTTGTGTAGTCCATGATGGTGTTGAGGCGATGTGCGATGGTCAGAACGGTGCAGTCCTCAAACTGAGTTCGGATGGTAGACTGTATCAGATTGTCCGTCTCCAGATCCACAGCTGCAGTGGCTTCATCCAAAACCAGAATCTTGGTTTTCCTGAGGAGAGCTCGAGCCAGGCAAACCAGCTGCCGCTGACCCAAACTAAAGCCCAGAATATCCAGTCAGAAACCATCAGATCAGGCATTAGTCAAGTTATAAAGAGGGAGGAATCTTGTCAAGAGTTTATACCTGAGATTCTCTCCACCCTCTGAACACTCATGGCTGAGTTTGTCAGGAAGGCCGGACACAAAGTTCTTGAGATGTGCGAGTTCTAGAGATCTCCACACCTCCTCATCAGTGTACCCATCAAAGGGGTCCAGATTCATACGCAAGGAACCTGAGAACAGCACGGGATCCTTGGGCAAAAAGAGGTGGTTATAATTAAAGCACTCAATCATTGAATTTTTATTTTTTTATATATATAATTTCTTTACTATACATCCATTTTCAGCTGTACCTGTGGGATGATGGTGATACGAGATCTCAGTTCATGCAATCCAATCTCTGCAATGTTTATCCCATCTATGTAGATCTTTCCTTTTGCTGCCTCAAGGATCCGGAATATTCCGAGAGCTAGAGATGATTTTCCAGCCCCTGTTCTTCCCACAATTCCAACCTGAGTGGATTAGATGAACAGCTTAGTACGTGATAATTGTAAAATCTGTTTATTTCCTCCAGATGTTATATTTACTTTTTCTCTCTCATTAACACTGAGGGAAATTTCTTTCAAGGCCCAGTCAAGACCCCTGCGGTACTGAAGTCCATATTCCTGGAATCCAATGGATCCTGATCTGGGCCAGTGTGACGGGAGTGGACTATCCTCGAAGGTCCATGGTGCCTGCGACAACCCAAGACAGACTTAGTGACCTCAAGAATCAATGTAAAAATATACTTCGGGGTCACTTTGCATAAAGGAATTGATGTGAAAAACAAAGCATTTAAACCAACATTACCTCCTTTTCTGTTTCGGCATATTCCTTCACTCGCTCAACAGACACAATGTTGTTTTCTACATCAGTCCATGCCCTCACAATCCAGCTCAGGATCCCAGTCACCTGAAATGTATTTTTCTTGAGAACTTCTTCCCTATTTGTCAGAAAATAACATGCATGGCTTTTTGACTTGAGTTCCTTACCTGGAGAGAGTGGGACACAGCTAGCCCTACGATTCCAGGGCTTAAAGTCGCCCTTCCCAAAACAGAGAAGATAGCTGCAGCAAGGACCAGCAAGTTACCCAGAAACTCTAGATTTACTGCCAGCCACCTTTAGAATAACATTGAAGATATTGTACAGAGTTAGATTGAAGGGCCAGGACTAGTAACAAAGAAAGAATAAGACTGAATCTGACCTGGTGGCCACAAATCTTGGGAAATAGGACGTTTGATTGTGGTCCACTCGGCTGTTAGCCACTTGGATGAACCTAGGCTGTTCACCAAAGGCCCGGATCACGCTAGCTCCTTGAACTGTCTCGTTGAAATGAGTATAGATGGGTGAACGGCTCACCGACTCTAGTCTACGCAACTGACAGGACGTGGCCACGTAGAAGCTCTGAAAACACAGGAGAATAGATGGCAGATAAATCACTGTTGCTCCTTGTTATAATACTCTCGCCTGCTGAGCAATCTGTGGTAGCATACCTGGATAAAGACATAGAAGAGAGTCAGTGGCAGTATGATCACTCCTGCAAAAGGAGTTGCCATCAGCACGATAATGCAAACCTCCAGAAGTTTGAACACATAGCCCAGCATCATCTTTAGACCATCAGGGATCATGCAGTCAATGGCGTCTATCTCTTTTGAGAAACGATTGAGAAGATTACCACTGGGTGTACTCTCGAAGAATGACATGGGAGAGTGAAGTACATTGTTAAGAAGGTCCAAATGAAGATGCCGGGATGCAATTATTCCTCCAAGTGAAATAGCCACAGTAGTCCCAAAAATTGCAGTTCCTGCAATACGACATCACAGTTAATGATCAAGAACGATACAAAGCCTAAGGATACTCCATGATGGTTGAGAAATATAAAGGATATTTAACCTTGTGCAAAGCCGAGAGCTCCAAAAACACCAAGCTTCAGATCTGTGTTGACCTGAGTTCCATTTACGACCGGCTCATCTGCCCACAGGCTTAGCCAGTAGTTGTAGGCCAGGGAGGCAGCCTGCTGAAACGCATAGAGGAAGATGATGGGGATGATGAGGGCCAGGCCAATGGTCTTGAAGTACTCCACATACAGCTCCAGTTTCACCTGTGTGACCCATTATGAAGAATGTGTGAGGAACAGTACTCTGGATGATATAGTGCACTTTCAGGCTATATTATGGTGTTCAGAACAATGAAAGCCAAAGGCCTGTAATCAGGGTTTAAAATTAGATCTTTGTGGTGACACGAGAGCATCTGAAATGCGTGTTGTTGACCTGTAGCTGAACTTTACCTTTCAGTCCAATTCTCTGGCTTTTGGTATTGAGTTACATTTGAAGGTTTATTTTGATGTGTTTACCCATATTTTTTTTTGGCAATGTCTGTTGATGTGTCTCTATAACTTACTCGGCCTGTGTGGGCTTTGTCAGCCTGGGTCAGTCTCCCAGTTTCCTCTTGGTCCTGCTCCTGTTCTTTGTCAGATATGGACTCCATGGTTTGTATACTGGCATTTCCCATGTCTCCACTTCATTAAATAAAATCGACAGAAATGTGAATATGTATTCTTCAACAACGTTTGCATTTGCATTTTCTAAACTTGGTTACCTGATGAGTTGCTCCTGGGAGAGGTCAATTGAGAAGTCTGTCATGCTGAGACGAGAGACAGATTTCCTGGTCCCTAAAACAAAGTGAATCTGCACTTTTAATCATGTTAACATGAAACTAGTGTGGTAGTGTTTAGTCATTTGCTAAGCTGCACTCAATCTTTTTTATCTTACCTCTATGGGTGGCACTTTCCTTGTGTTCGCTAACAGAAAAGGCCTGAACAAAGTCGGCAAAGGCGTTTTGCCCGCTCAAAAGCTCGGCATAAGAGCCCATCTCTGTGATTTCTCCATCCACCATCACCAGGATCAGGTCAGCCTGGGGCAGGAAGCTCAGCCCGTGGGTCACCAGGATTCGAGTCTGTTTTAGAGAGCATTATCAAATAAGCTAGTTAGCTAGTTAGTTTGTTGTTTTAAGCCTGTTCATGTCTCTTTTTTTATCTAAACTTTGCTTTTAGCACAAGCTTTTCTAGTTTAAAATCATACTTTGCATTTATAATTTCAGTTTATTTTAATTCTACTTGCATTCAGATTCACCATATTTTCCTACTTTAGTGTTTCACATATTAGATTTTTGGGTCACATATTTTGTTTATCTTACTCGTTTTATTTTTACCTTATTTTTAAGAACTCCATTAGGTCCAATGACCTTTTTGAAGATGTGCTGACCCACATGTGCATCCACAGCTGACAAGGGATCATCCATCAGATAGATATCAGCCTTCTTGTAGACTGCGCGTGCCAGACTCACTCTCTGTTTCTGACCTCCTGACAGATTCAGCCCCTGCGAACATTGTATAAATGTTATGGGAGTTTTACTCTGCTGGTATTCCTGCATATTTGAAATTTAAATAAATTTGAGACATGGTGTAACAGTCATTCTAAATCTATGTTTACCTTCTCTCCAATCTCTGTCGAGTCTCCTCCAGGTAGAATCTCCAGGTCTGGTAAGAGAGCGCAGGCCTCCACCACTTTCTGGTACCAGCTGCCTTTCCTCTCACGTCCAAACAAAATGTTGCCTTTCAGAGTGGCATTCTGGATCCATGCTTGCTGAGGCACGTAAGCCACAGAGCCCTGAAAGAAAGTGCCGCTAAAATTATATGTGGAATATGTGAATGATGCCAATATATCTTTAATAATGTTCATGAATGATTTACTGTAATTGTGACGTGGCCACTTTTCTTTTCCATCTCTCCTAACATCGCAGACAGAAGAGAGGATTTTCCACTGCCCACATGACCTACCACAGCCACCAGTGAACCACGTTGCACTTTGATATTGATCCTGCAGGAATGAATCGTTGCCGGATTATTGTCTTCATACGCTTAGAAATGGTGGATCTACAGATATACATTCAAAGTCACCTACCTCTTGAGACATGGTGTACTATCTTTAGACCAGCTGAAAGTGCCATTGTCAATAACAACACCATCAACATCTGACAAAAGAAGGAAATAAAGAGGTGAGCTCATCTTGTTCCAAACCTGTATGAATTTCTCTACTCAGCAGAACATTTGAATACATTTGGAATATTTTTTGCATGCTCTTTTCAGCGCAGTTGCAGTTTTCAAGCTTCAAAATACAAAGATACTACAACAAAAGTGTTTTATACAACTCTTGCACAATATTAAATATTTTTAAGACATTTGAACTTCATGGACTGCTTGAAGTCTATGAAAATTTGTGAGAGTTTCATAGACTAAAACCATGAAATTTCTCAAATCTTGTTCATGAGAGAAAAAGTACACATTTTTAATGTAATAAATATATTAAGTAAGGTCTTTTCAAAGAATCAGCTAACCTGTTTACCAGAAATGAAAATTAATCTAATTTTTTATCATGAATCAGACTGATTCGGTTCTCAAGTTCAACTCACGTAAAAATTAAAGTAGTTAATTCTTAAGTTAACAGCTCACTGGAACCTTATTCAGAATATTTTCTTTTGGTTATATGGAAGAAAGAACGCCATACAGGCGTGTGTGGTGTGTGAATTGACAAATTTCATTTTTGGATGCAATGTGCATTGCATTTGAGGCTCATAACTATATCAAAAGTTACTGAGGGAACAGGATGACGATAATTATCTTGCTTAATACATTTACATATTTTTTTTTACCATCATCCATGGGATATTATTGACTTGTCTCCAGTATTCTGATGAAGTAGACACAAGCATTCTCACAAAAACATCTCTTTGACCTTTGATATAAAAGAGTTGCATTTTAAAATGCGTCTTTAACACACAAAAATGTGGAAAAAGCAAATATAATTACAGCTCCAAAGCTGAAAATCCCCGTCCAGTGACCACTGCAGTCTGCATGAAGTCATCATACGCATTTCAGCCACTACTAACACCCACCTCCTAGCCACACAATTTCCTTGTAGTGTTTGCTGAATTACAGCATTTAAATTAAAGTTTCTGCCTGCACACATGGCCATGTCTTGTATTAGAACTGCAAAAATATTCTTCAAGGTGGGTCTTTCTGGCAGATTAGTAACTCATTATTTTTGTTTTTTGAATGTCGTGTTTTGTTATGGCTTCCTGTATTAGGATTCCAGCATCGTATTGATAGGGAAAATTCTCTTTACTGCTCAACATGTATAACAATGTTGGTCATCTAAGGCATATAAAGCATTTTATAAGCTTCAGGAAAGTTTGAAAACAATGACAAGCTAATGCACTCACCAGGATTGTAGGGAGCTCTCTCCACACTGTCTGGTTTCAGCTCGTCTTGACACAGAAACTTTCCGAGACGTTTGAGAGAAACCACAGCCTTAGAAACAAGACGAAACAGATTCTTTTTAATAATTTACTTGAAAATACACAAGTACATAAATACATAAGCGTTCAAATATTTGAATTGCAGTAATGCCACCCACCTGCATGGTAGTGCTCATTGCGAAGGGCAGTTGACTGAGTGGAGCTTTGAGAATATTGATGAGAGCCATGGACACAAAGACCTTCTGAGCATCCAGAACATGCCTATCGTCTATCAACACGTACACTCCAAACATGGCAAATGCAATCTGAAGGCAAAGTGTTGTACAAGGTTACAATTGTTCAGTTGATAGGACTATATTGATGTTAAAGGGATACTCCACCTTTTTTAAAAAAAATAGGCTCATTTTACAACTCCCCGAGTTAAAGAGTTGAGTTTTACCGAATCCATTCAGCCGATTTTCTGATATTTAGAAGAATATCAGTAAACAGACTGTTTCTGGTCTCATTGACTTCCATAGTATATTTTTTTCCTACTATGGAAGTCAATGAGACCAGAAACTGTCTGGTTACCGATATTCTTCTAAATATCAGAAAATCGGCTGAATGGATTCAAAAACGGTAAAACTCAATTGTTTAACTCTGGGGGAGTGGTAAAATGAACCTATTTTCAAAAAAAACTGGAGTATCCCTTTAAGATGATGAAATCATCCAAGAATTATGAACTGTACCAAGAAAGTTGAGGAGTTGAAGGAGGCGATTGATATTGAGTAAAGGATCTGAGACTTCTTCAAAGCATTTAGCTCTTTTTCCCTGTAGCCAAGAACACGTTCTCTGAAAGCATTTTCCCAGGCATAAAACTTCAGGATCTTTATTCCGTTCAAAATCTCATTCATAAGCTTAATTCGGCCATCCATGTACTTCATCTGGACCTCCTGAGAGCAGAAAACAGGTTAAAACATTTGAGAATCATGCACGCAAAGTTGTTTACTTTGTAAGACCAGAAAGAAACCAATATGGGCAAGTTTCAATTCTTTAGATGTTTCACTCAAAGCAAATAAATACATTTCAGTTTTACAACAAATACTGTGGTTTTCATGGACAGAACTGTCCTCATGCTCATGTTTTAAATTATCAGTGGACCGACATGACCTCGGTCACCACAGCACGAATATTATGTAAATGTTATTTGACTCCATGGAAAAACATGGATGGTACCTGGAGCTTGCTTCTCATTTTGGCAAGTAACCCATTTAAAGGGAAGATGAGAATCACAGTGGCGATGCCAGCCAACGCAGATGGACCGAGACGCTGTACAGAGGTGAGACATTGAAATTAATTAATTTTACATCTGCACATATTTTAGGACATCTTTATACCTTATTTATCCCCAAAACAGTAGTCGCTAACATATGAACAGATCTTTATTTCTAGAAGCATCACTTCTCACCTGCCAGAGGAAGAAAAGACATAAGGCGATTTCAATCGGGGCCACCCACACTGCGTTGAAGTACACCACGAAATCCATGAGTTTCTGGGTGTCCGCCGAAACCAAGTTCACTATCTCTCCGACTGTACATGTTCGACGGGCTGCGCTGTTGATGACCAGAGACTGTGGAGACAAAAATGAATGTGAGAACCCTTATATGCATCTTTGCATTTCTTAGTAAACAGTTAAAAAGCCTACCTTCCTGTACACTAGGCCCATAACTGCAGTTTTAACCCTCATGCCCACTGTGAAGCAGGTATACATGTACTGATGATTGAACAGGGACTGCAGACAAGACAACAGGAACAACAGAAAGGCAAAGAGGTAACCCTTCCACAAGGGGGCATCTTCATCCCTCACAAACCCGAGCAGTAAGCTGAAGTACAAGAAACAGACATTGTTATGATTTACTGACACCCAAACAGTAGCTCACCATTTTTGTATATACGAGTTGAATTTAATTAAATTTTGTCAACTTGGGACAAAGCAAACCCAAGCCAAACCTTAAAATACTGGGACTGAACAATACAACCTCGGGTACGTGCATTCAAAGATAGAGTGCACTATCACTGAGGGGTGTTTTGATGGCTGTGGTTCTGGAGCAGTGAACCCACCAAACTGCTCTTGGCTAGCTATATGCCAGACGAAGTGGCTTAATTTTTAGAGCTATAGTTCAGCCACAAACAATATGATTCTGCAGAGAGCAGACTCCTCCAAAATTAACTGTGTGGCTTTACCACACCAGGATGTGGGGCGTGTTGGGGGGGCAGCTAAGTGTGAACTCAGTATTGAGTTCACACTCAATACTGAGAAAGGGCAACAAGGTCATGGACAGTTAAGTTTAGCCTTAGAAATTTCAGTTTTTTGTTTCACAACACTTTAAAATGATGTGCCAAAGACTAAAATTCTTGCTCTACATTTACACACTGGCCTTACATACTGTAGATGTTTTGGTTTTACGCACAAAGGAATGAATAGTAATGAAAGATATTTATAAAAGAATACGATTTGATGAGATTCGAGACTCTTGATTAGAGCTTGTCTAGTGCAGTAATGTGATGTAGAAAAGCAGTCAACACATTCTAAATACACTACCACTCCAAAGGAGTGAATGGATGAATACTTTATTCAGCAAGAATTCATTAAATATAGAATTTTTGTAATTTTTAATTGTCACTTTTAATCTATTTCAAATAATGCTGTTCTTTTGAAATTTCTTCTCATCAAGGAAACTTGTAAAAATGGTTTCCACAAAAAAAATTAAGCAGCACAACTATTTTCAACATTTCAACACGCACTGAGACGACAGAGGTATGCATCAACTCGTCTTAGTTAAGGGAATAACATAGTTTAATATGAAAAAATGGTGGAGTATCCCTTCAAAACTATTTCTGAAGGATCGTGTGGCACTGAATATTGGAGTTATGATGCTTTGACTTCACAGCATTAAATTACATTTTAATATATATTCATTAATTAAATTTTACAATGTTGCTGTTTTACGTGGTGAGCAAAAGAGACTCTAAAAACATTAAAAAAAAACAGTATCACTTTACATGTCATGACAGAATTACTGCCTCTCTCACCTCAACACTTGTGGTATGGAGAACATGAAAGCATCTTGAATGACCAAACAGAGAGTCCCAGTCAGGAAGTAGGGGCCAAAGTTTTTGGCTAGTGTACGTAGCAGACAGAAGCCTGAGCTTTGTTCTTTATGAAGTTTTCTGAGCAGCTGCTTCTGCTCGCTAAGCTTATAACCAAGAGCTTGTGATCCGTTCAGAGAGCTCTCTTGCCTGTGTTTGAAGGAGAGAACACAACATTTGTAACCGGACTTTATAGTGTCTGGAATGGTACTGCCAGCAGCATTGTTTGCAACTTTGTTAACTAATAATACAAATAAATCAGTAGTTATGAGCAATGCAAATTATGGATGTTACATATTTTACTGACTGACGTGTGCACAGTATAAATCATCATGATCCCAGGATGGGAAACATGCAGTTAAGGAAATAGCAGGTGTCTTACTGTTGCAGTTTGGCGCATTGCTTGGCCCACTCTTTCTCTAGATCACAGATGATTTTTTCAGATGTATCCTCTTCTCGTAGAGACCAGAGGTCTTCAGCTTTTAAAGGTGAGCGGTAGCCCTTTACCACCAGTCTGTGGAGCACAAATATGTGTGTTTCTCTATATCTCAGTGGGTTTTTTATTCCCCAGACCTTCACAAGAATCTCAGAAGCTCCATGTAATGAGAGACAAAAAGATGACTCTACCTGCCGTACCACCAGAAAAGTATTTTTGAAAGGAAAGAAGCATCCTCAACTGGACATGGATTCTAGTGCAAAAAGTAAGGTATTATTTTTTAGGCTGTTTTCCAGATAATAGTTTACAAAATCAACATTGATGACACTCTACCTTTACATATACACGATTAAAAGTTGCTGGGCGTTTATCAGCAAAACAGCTGAGGATGAGCTGAGCCAGCTGGAGAGAGAAGAATGTGAAAAATGCCACAAATCTCATCGCATCCGCAGAGAAACCCTGAAACACACATGACTGGATATCAGTTAAATGTGGACAACAGTGTGGAGAACAGTACGCTCGGCACACTGATTGTGAAGCAATTTAAAGCATAAATGTTTCTTTTTTTTTCTCATGTTTTTTTGTGTGGTGAAGTTAATATAAAACAACATTTCATAATAAAAACTTATATTTAATTTGTTGTGGTAAAAAATATTTTTAATCAGCTAATAATTCAGCTGTAAAATAAGTACCTTTCATGCTAAGTATATAAAATCGCTTACATGTTATTGTATTAATATATTATAATAATATATACATATTTTGTTTATTGCATATTTTCATTTCTTCATAAAAATTTGATCAAACAATCCTTTTTAGATCCCCTGTAGACCTGCCAGGCAGTATGAACCAAAAAAACCCCAAAAAAACCCACTTTATTCCTTAGCAGAAATTGAATTATCCAACATATGAATTGAATTATCCAACATATGAATTATTACATAACCTTACATGTTTTCATTCGCCCCTTCTGTGGAGAGGCCGTACTCGGCACATAAGTAATGCATACCCATTTCCCAGGGATTTCCCATGGAGTCATTTGCCACATAACCTGCATGCTTCCTGTGGGACTATAATCCGTATTTTCTCTTCTGCTAGGGCAGCTAGTACATGTGCTGATCTGAGATCAGCCGCCCACTTTGTCTCACCGCAGTGTGCAGAGGCGGGACTGGTGGCTGATGTGGGGAGTGTTCTTTTGGGGATGATGCCTGCTGTTCCCCTCCCTTCCTTTCAAAGACCTCAGCTTATTATAATGACCTAAATGTTCCATCAAAACTAGGATTCATGACACAACAAATCTATTTATGAACACTTCTAAATCGTGGTATAAAAATTACAGACCACAGAAAGATCTTAATGCCAACAGACTGAGACAGACTCTTCATTCACAACCTCTAATAGTAGAAAAGCTCTTGGTGATGGTGTTCAGTGAGTATTCAATCGCCTATTGACCTATGAAGCTCTCGTGTCATTTTTCTCCTGGTATCCATGCTCTTGTCATATTTGTGCAGCCTAATAGGAAAATTTGCACATTTTATTCAAATATTAACTTCTTGTGTTCACACAATGAAACATGCCAAATGATGCAGACAGTTTTTGGCCAGACTACCATACAAAAAAGTATATTCATTAAAGATAATATGAATTATAAAACACTTTTGCTTATAGAGGAATAACGCTTATGTTTGTATCATTGTATAACAGTTTTCGCATTTATTGTTTGGGACAAAGTTTTACCACCCGGCGCTTGATTTAAGTGTGTAGTGCATAATACAAGGTTCAAGATTTGTTAGAGAGAAAATATGCTGAGGCTTGGATCTGATGCTAAACGTTTTACAGGGGCCACAGAAGGCATCCATTCCCATTGACTTCGGACAAAAATGGTGTCAAGTGGCCAAACTACAAGAGAAAGCGGCAGTGCAGGCCTCTTTAAGAGTATGTAAACACAAGCTTCACTCAAATGGTCACAGTCCAAACTCTGGACACCACAATGCAGGATACTGGGATTATTTGTCCGCCTCACTTTATGTTTAAACGGTTTGGAGAAACTCAAATTGGTTTGGAAACATATCCTCCCCCAGTGTGGTATGAGAGGACCAAGCACTAGTTGTTTTGCTGTTTCTTTTGGACCTGCTGCTCATTGGCCAAGGGCTCAGATTTGGGGCACAACAGATCCCACCACAAACCAAGCTTCAGTTCCTATGTAAACGATGTCATCACTGAGCTGTACGCCGGCTTCATTACTTTTTTCTTTTTTTTTTACTTCCTTACAGTATGATTACTTCCTTACTATACTTTTGGCATGTTCTACTTTTCAAGTATTTGTTTTCAAAAGTCAGTATTTTAATTTTGGGAAACTCACTTTTACTATATGTAAATATGGAGACCTGATCTTGAAGTTTCGGCAAACCCCCCCTTCTTCCGCTACCTCACACTGGGCCCCGCCCCATTCTTGGAATGGCCCTGCTGGCCTAGCCACATAAATAATATAAATATATAACAAAATATGCACATAGTCCTAAAGATTATACATTCCAAACTCGATATACTGTCTCTGTGTGTGAGCTACATATTTATTTCCCCTTCCAGTGTCTGTGACAAGATGCAGTGACATAATTATGGAGTGGGATCATCACAGCAGACGAGAGACAGACACAGTAACAGCATCCGCAGACGTATGTGGCTTCTCCTATCTGTCCCGGACAAAGAGGGCATTGAGGGAAGTGGGAAGGGAAAACCAACAGGCCTGCCCGGACATCAATGCTGAGAAGAGCACCATCTGTAAGCACTCTGTTTACGCACCGCTGTGTTAGACTCTCATATACAACACAGATACATTTAGAAAGTGAGATTGAGTAACATTCATTAGGAAAAAAACGTTCGAGGGCCCGCGTTATGAATACGTAAAGGGTATAGACATTTAGTATTACCAGAAATTCTGAGATTAAGGCAACAAGTCAAATTTACTCATGTCTCAAAGCACCATTAATGGCTATTATATTAGAAACCCTACAAAAAGAGGTCCAAAACTTCGTGACCACAAGTATAAATGCTTATTTTTTATGCTTATTCAATTCAATTATTTTAAATGCTTATTCAAATTCGAGATTTTATGTGTACGAGTCCCTCAGTACATATTGGGTGAACGCAGGTAAATTGAGATGACAAAATATCTTTCAATTTTTATTTTCACTAAACTAAATTATAATATATGCAAATAATAATAAGAATTCTATATTTATATATAGTAGTTATTAGTAGTAGTTTGCTATACTAGGGATATACAAACCTCGTCTATGATGGCTTGTATGTTGGCTCTGAGAGGCACAAGCGAGCAGACGATTGCCAGCGTCCAAAACAGGAAGAGAAATACAGAGGACCGAAAGCCCCTCAGCCTCTCCAAGTGGATCACCAACACTGCCAATATCTGAGGACACAGTTTATTTCAGTCAGTGTGCTAGTTGAGGTCAATAGAGAAATCCAACACTCACTAGAAGAAGAGGACTGAATACCATTAGACAGCTTAGACGCGGAGTTTTTGTTGATACGTTTTGTATTGATTTTACACAGGTAAGCAAAGACTACTGTGAATGTTTAGTCTGGGTCAGGACTTTAAAATGGACTTATCTGGTTGGGCAGATCTGGGGGGGGGGAAAGTCATTTACTACAACCACTGTTGACACTGCTGTCTGCTGTGACCAGAGGTAAAAGAGGCTTATTTATCCTGACCCCTTCAGGAAACTTCTGCCAGACGTCTAGCCACTAAGAGATTTGTTCATTCTCGCTTAAATATAACAGATCATAAATCTTAACTATCCTCTAAAAGAGTTCATTGAAAAAAGAAAAAGTCTAAACATATATTTGGACCCTTATATTTCTGAAATCAACATGGTATTTCATAACAGTCCTTAATGGAAAGGGGAGGTTCAGGAGAAGAGTAATATTGTGATTTACCATGGTAAGGCTGCGAATTATAGGGCTCAGGAGAAAGACCATGTGACGCTCGATATCTCTGCTCCTTTCCACCAGGAGATAGACCATCTCCAGGAAACCAAAGGAAGCCAGACAGAGACCCAAACCCTACAAGACGTGAACACAGACATGTAAGCATTAACTGCAACGTTGTGGTGTCATGCCCCCCAAAAAGTTTAACTTGCATTATCGATCAAACGTTTTTGAAAGTCTCTTATGCTCATCTAGGCTGCATTTATTTGATCAAAAATCCTGTAAAACAGTATTATTGTTACAATTTAAAATAATCTAATCTATTTTAAAAGCAATTTATTTCTGTGATGTTAAAGCTGTATTTTGAGCATTATTACTGCAGTCTTCTGTGTCACATGATCCTTCAGAAATCCATATGAATATTTGCGGCTCGAGAAACATTTCTAATTATCATCGAATTGAGTTGCTGCTTCATTTTTTAAAAACAATCTTTGTTATTATTATAAATGTCTATACTTTCACTTTTGGTCAATTTAATGTGTCCTTGCTGAATAAAAGTTTTTTCTTTAAAAAAAAGAAAAAGAAGAAATCTTACCCCGAACTTTTGAAAGGTATGTGTGCTATATTAGAATTGATTTACATGTCAAATGGGTCAAAGTGTATGATATGATCTATTTTTGTTCCTGTAGAAACATTTTCCTACCTTTCATGCTCGTTAATGATGTCACTTATTTCCAGTGTTGGGGATAACTCAAGTTACGTAATCAGATTACTTTTCCAAGTAACTAAAGTTACGCATTACTTTTAAAATTTACAACAACAATACCCGAGTTACTTTTTCAAAAAAGTTACGTAAGATAGCACAAGTCTACACTGAAAAAAATGATTTTTGCTGCTTGTTCAAATCGCTTAATTAAAATTAGCTTAAGCAACATAATTGCTTTACATTTTGTCCATACTTAATTTGATTGTGTCCAATCTGCTTAAATATATGTAAAATTTAAGTTTACTTAATCCGTTTGTGTTGGATAACATGAATGATTTGTGTTGCATTAACTGAAATTGGGCAGTGCATGTTAATTCCCAGCATGCTTTGCATATGTCTGAATTATGAGAGAATAAATGTTGAAATGAAGTGTTATTTTATATGTTTTTGAGAAAATAAGAAAAGGTTAGTGTGTAATTGTGTTTAATGTTCAATTACATTGGAATTATTAGAACCATTTGAATTACAGTTGGTTACCATTGTGGAGAAGAGTGGATGATTTGGTTAGGCTGTGGAGTGTGGACTGATTCAACTATGTGTATAGCAACTGCTTTTTGCTGATGGTGTATGTATACCTTAGCATTCAGTATGCCACCAAGTACTATAGTTAACTGCAGGCTATAGACTAGATATTGAAATGTGTGACAAACACATTTAATCTTAATTGGATAAATGAATATATGAATTTGAATACCTGAAACAGCCAATCAGGGAGCCTTTTAAAATCACTTTGAGACTACTTAATTGGATAACTTAAAATGATTTAATTCCATGACATTAAAGAGATACATTAATAAATTATGTTTGTGTAACTTAATTGGTTCATGTGGGACCGATGTACACTATCAAATCATGTAAATCCAACAGACTTTTTTTTTCAGTGTATTTGATTTGATGTTTACATCTGGAAGACGTATTTTTAAGAGTGTTTGCTCATCTACAATACGTCTATAGGACGTTTCCTGTCAGATGTCGAATAGATGTTTAGAAGATCTCTAAGATGTAATGATTTAGAATGCATTAAACTGACATCTTCTAAACGTCTATTTGACATCTGACAGGAAACGTCCTATAGACGTATTGCAGATGAGTAAACACTCTTAAAAATACGTCTTCCAGATGTAAACATCACATCAAATACACTTGTGCTATCTGGGTTACTTTGTTTTCCCATTTATTGACTGACAGCTGTCTTATCCTTCTTGTTGAGACAAATCGAAGTGCAGAGGCGTTGTGTGTAAACGTTGTAGACTAGATGTGAGGTGCATACAATCTCATGTGCACAAAAAAGATTGAATATTCCTCAAAATAATAAAATCATTGAAATACAGAATCAGAATATGCAAACCTCCAATAACTAGCCTATGATAAATAAAACATTCATTTTTATGCATCTAATCTCACTTTATTGGCTAATGTATTTACTGCTGACCTCCGATGATTCAATTAAACCATAAGCAAAAATGACTAAAGAATTTTTTTGTTTTTATTGGTAAAGTGTTTCTACTCTTCCGTTATCCAGAACAACAACACAGCTGAAAGGTTTGTTTGATTGGCGCCCTCTACTGTACAACTGTGAATTTCCTTCAGCCTGAGGCTTATTATTTTACTTTAGGTGTGAAAGGGTCTTTACATTTGCCCAAAATAATAACTTTTTTGTTATAAAAAAAACAAGCCCAGCAGAGGTGAAAAAAGTAACATAAAAGTAGGCTAACGTAACACATTGCTCTTCTAAAAAACTAACTTAGTAGCTTAATGCAATTGAGTAACGCAATAATGCATTCCTTTTCAAAGTAACTTTCCCCCAACACTGCTTATTTCTATATTGCCATGCACACACCAATAGCCAGTGAGTTTTTCAGGTGACTGATGCTATATTCAACTTAGAGAGGTGGTAACTTGTCTCGATGACTGGTATGACTCACCGTCTTGGCACAGTAGAGGCTGGATATAGATATGCGTCCATTGTCGTAAAATTTGAGGTACAAGCAGTAGAAAGGGGCACAAACCCAGAGATAGAAACAGGGGAACCACACCAGTATTGTGTGCTGGAAACACTGGGTGAGGTCTGGATGTAGTGTGTACCATGTGACGTTCCAGTCCTGAAAACACACAATTATATGTATTAATAATAATTTATAAATAACAAGTTAAGTTTACAACGTATTTGATTTTATTCACTCTCTGCACTCATAGTGAATGCTAAATGTTCATTGATGTTCCCCAATATTTGTTCAGTCCAAATGGCTCTGTGTATTTGTGATTTATATTAGTTGTCTTGCAGTGTTTGCAACAGACGAATAGTGTGAAATTGCAGAGAGAGGTGAAAGGTAAAGCTCCTGTAATAAATTTACTGTTTGCCAAGTGAGTTTATGATGAGTATAGCTGGATTTGTCTTGGTTGTTATAAGTCATGACTGGAAAAAAATGTCTTTACCTCTATGAAAGTGCACTGATCCTTCTTGAGGCAGTGACTTTACATGTCTATGGTGCATTGAATATTTTTGCTTTGTTTTAGCCCTAGGAATTGAATAGAACTTTTACAAAATATGTTTAAATTACATCACATGAACAGTCAAATACAATTTTTGTAGATACACAACCAGCACGTTTAATCTGCAGCATGTATTATCCTAGTTTTAGCTTCAAAGCTTGTTTACCTGTAAAGATATAGGGACAAAGTGAGGTACTATAAATTTTTCCCTATTCTGATTGTAGAAAGCCACCAATTTCCAGAAATGTAACATACAAATAAACTAATTAATTTCAAGATTTCATTGTTGTTGGCACTGGCAGATATAGTTTCCACTCAGAAGCATTGCAGCAGAACAAAAAGCATGTGTCCAAATATTCACATTGTAGAACAGTTTGTACACATTTGACAGATTGATAGTCTGAAGTGAGTGTTGCTTTCTTTAAGCTGCATATTTATTTAAAGTAAATGCAAAAGTATTTCACTCGCAGTTGAAAACAAGCAGGCTTTGATTTGTGACAAAACTGCTGTTCTGTGTAGTTCGATTACATCAAAGTTGGACAAACTCAGTTTGAAATCACTGCCAAGACATCTCTCTCAAGCTGAATTTCACAGGCTCGTTCTATTCAGACATCAGTAATTCACACAGTATCTCCTCGGTTATTTCTGGCTTTTCTATGTTGGAAAATAGGCCGATGTCCAAACGTAGCTGTAGAGCTGTTATGTTACTTTTTTCCCTCTAACTTTCTATGGACTAATGAGAACTAATCCAGCAATGGCACAGCTCTGATAAATACGGCATGCTGGTTGGAAGGAGTCTTGTGGTATGGCAGTATATAAGAAGCGCACCTTTGGCAAGCCACAATGTAAACCCATACACCATGAGAACGCCCATGTGCACCAGACTCAGCTTTGTTTGCTCATGTACATTCAATTGGCTGATGGAGAAGTTCAACAGATTCAACTTATTTTTCTCAAGTGCATTATCTGAACGTATTTTCTCAGCCTTATGTTGTTCCCAACCCCATTTTTCCATGAAACACAAAAAGAAGATTTTTGATTGATTAAAGCTTTTACTCTTCGAAAAGGATGCAAAAGCATCATACATACTCAGAAGTCATGCAATAACTTTTTATGAGGAATAATCTCTCTCTCCATTGATCTGTTCACTTTGGCAACCATATTTTGAGTTATTGAAGGCTCAAGAGCTGGATCAGATTCATACTGGATGACCTGAATCTATTAAAGTCTGAATCTAAAGAATGATTCATTCACAAATAAAACATCTTTACTTTTTTTTTTCCTTATAAATGCACCAAGGAGAGTTGTCACTATTTTCAGTTTTGGTCTTCATTTCACAAGTTTCTCTCACTTTGATTCAAGTTATGCATGATTTCAGAAATGTGGAATATAGCGCAAAAGTCAAATAGAGCACTTTTATGATGACTTCTTGGGGTATGATATGACATCTATTTATTTAGCCCTGCAAATGCAATCCAAACACATGCTGCAGGTACTCTGTTCATTACATTGTTGTTTTGGCCAGGATATGTCCTCGTCTATTTATGAGGGGGTGTACTGTGGTCTGGGCCCAAGAAGGGAAAGAGATTCTCATTCATGTGGCAGCGCACAGCAAAGTCACAGTTTTCCACAGGGAATTCAATGGACACCATCTTCTACTCATCCTACATCCTCTAAGACTATGTTTGCACTGGTCTAAACCCAATGACAACCACAGTCTCAGGAAGTGATTCAGAGTGGTGTGTGTACCCTTCCTGCAAGTGTAGGAGTACAAACTGCCGGTCAGCACAAAAAAATAGTTTAAAAACAGTTTAAAAATGTCACCGCTGATGTCTGGATTTATGAAGAGGAAATTTGTAAGGATGGCTTGTAGTTCACAAATCTCCAGTTGTTTCTGGAAATGATCATCAATAAATGTCATTTTGATTGTGCACGAGCACAAGCAGGCCAGACACACTGTAAAAAAAATATTTTCATGATTTGTAATCACAACATTTTTTCTTGTGTCAAATCAACTTAGATAATTTATGTAGTTCAGATAATATCATATTTTGAGTTTCTGGTGATTAAATTAATCTCCTTCATTGTAATAACTCAGTTTTTCCATTTCAATGAACTTAAAATTTTAAGGCAACGGTTACTTATTTTTTTAAGTTAAATCAACAATATTTTTTTTATGCAGTCACACATTCTTCAATAGACATGAGCTTATAGCCTTGACCTCTTCGTCTCATTTCACATGCTTTCCCAGCTACAAATGTAATACTCTAAGAATGTTGTTCTTATGTTCCATTATGTCAGGAAAACGCTATTTCAAAAAGTTCTGAGAATGTTAAAAATGTTGTTTTAGAAACATAGGTTATATGAACGTTCTGATTCTGAATAACAGGATTGCACAAAATTATATTCTAATAACAGTAAGACAAAATAAGTAATATACCGTAACTAATGAAACACTGCAGACTGTAAAGTCTCATTCAAGGAAAGTCAGTTCGTCCGTGGCCATAATTGCAACAACTTGAATGGGGAAATAATCACAACATCTCACAAACTCATGTTTCCCAATCACAACGTTTCCCAAATTCATGTTTAAAAGCATATTTCAAGTCAAAAACAAACTCGGACATGAACTGTCACATTTTTTTTTTCATATACTCATATAAGATTTGTTAAATCATATGTTTCAGGTTGGTCCAGTCAGTGCACATGTGCATTGCCAAGTGTCTGGACACTTGCTGTTTTTATGGCAAGCTGAGTTATTAACTCTTTTATTTACAAGGTATGACTTATTCTGCCATATGTGTTGTATTTTCTCCCATTCAAAGTAATATGAGGGTGCTCATTGATACAGTATATATTTGTCTGACCAAACTAAAACGTGTTGATTCATTAACTGTTGATTCATTATTATAAAACAACATTTGGTCAAACTTTTCCCGTATAGTGACTTTGAAAGAACGGTGCACTAATAATGTATTAATAAAGCCCGACATAGTGTTCAAAGTTTGGTCTGTTAATGTTACTCCAAGAACATTTTGTTTGTTCTGAGATTGTTCTTTGAGATTGTTTCCTGTTTGCTTGGCTGCAACTCGAGAATTTTAAAATCATCAACAAAATGTGGCCCGTTACTTATTGAAAGCACATCCGGTCCATCATCATTGTGCATTGGTAAACATTGCTTCATGATTAGTGTGTACCATGGTCCATAGAAGACCCGAATAAACCCCCTCATCACAGTGCCTGGGACAAAATTCTCTTGATGGCTCTGTCACACACACCAATTATTTTTTTTTTAAAAAGAGCCTTGTATATGCATTGATCTTTTATTTATTAACCTGAATTTCAACACTGAACATCTGTAAACATTGTTAAAAACATAGTTTAAAGTACAGTTACATCATGAACTGCACTCTTGCTGATACCAGCTGTGTGTAAACACACATTTAAAGCATGTTAATTCTAAATCTTTTAAACAGTTGTACAAATATTTTCACACATTTAACAAATGTTATGTGTGAGTGAGACAGAATAACCAAATAAGTCCTGCATTCAATTTCTGTCTGTTATAGTGTCCAAAACAATGATCACTTCCAAGAATAATTCCAAGAAAAAACTAGATACATAGTTCTTTTTAAGGAACCTTTATATATGTGTATATCTATGTTTTAATTGGCTATTGAAGTGAGCTAGTGAGTTTATTATTGATCTGAGACTCACCCAGAGAGGGTCCAGGCCACTGAGACTGCAGAGGGTGTCCATCCAGGTTCCTCTCTTCTTCACTTCCTGTAGTAAATCCCTGCTCCCTGGACTCAGCAGTGTCTGTGCCTGTGTGCGTTCGTGTTTAAACCCCTTTTTTGTAAGCCAGCCTCTCGTCTCCTGACCTGAGTCTCGTCAAAACTAAAGTCTGAGGCCAGGTTTGTGTAACTGGCCTGTTTATGAGTGCTGGCCTGTGAGGTGGGTGGAAGATTTGGACTCTGTAAAACTAGCTTCCCTGCTCTCTTTCGTCGCTCTGGCCCACGTGTGCCGAGGCCACAGTACCACAAACACTCCCCTGGAGGAGATGAGAGTGCCGCAGACGTGGCCACACCCCGCTCTCCTTCAGGTCTTGCCTCTGTAAACTCCCCCAATCCCACCCTTCACCCTGGTTTTCAAAAGAAAGGGAAAATGTTTAATGGCAAGTGTGATTTTGATTCTTCAATGAAAGTGGCTACAGGTCTTAAAAAAAAGTTAATAAAAAGTTATTATTTATTTCTATATTGTTGTTTTTGTTATTGAGTCAGGGGTCCTTTCTGTGTGGAGTTTGGATGTTCCCCCGGTCCAAATACATGCAAGTAAGGTGGATTGGATATACCAAATTGGGGAAACAAATCTTGTTGCATTTTATTTTTTTAACTCTTGTGTCTAAACAGATTTGTAATATTTTTTGGGGATTTATCATAAATCTGTATCGTTTTATATTATTATATAAAATTTTAAAGAATTTTACCAAAAAAAAAAAAAAATGATCCATCATTGTACTTAAGGACTGCATAACAAATAAGAATAATGATTTAGGAGAACATCAATTAAAAGGGCCTTTAAGGGGTTAGTTCTACCAGAAAGACTCGGGAGATAAAATGATGTAACAAAGCATCCATTTATTGGCAGCCCAGCAAGCAATTATTTGCAAGCCCATAAGGAAGTAATGGAATAGTGGAATAAAGTCGTTGTTTTTTTTCGCACAAAAAGTATTCTCGTCGCTTGATAAACTTATAATTGAGCCGCTGTAGGCACATGGAACATTTAAACCTTTTCTTTAATGACTTTATGGGCCGTCAAGAGCCAGTCCCTTCGGCATTCTATGTAGGACTGATCCAGCTCTCAGATTCAATCAAAAATATCTTTATTTGTGTTCCGAAGATGAACGAAGGTCTTACAGGGTTGGAACAGCATGGGGGTGAGTAATTAATGACTTAATTTTCATTTTTGGGTGAACTAACCCTTTAAGGGGAAGACCAGAAAGACTCGGGAGATAAAATGATGTAACAAAGCATCCATTTATTGGCAGCCCAGCAAGCAATTATTTGCAAGTTCTTTGGCGTAGGCCCCGTCCATAGATCGTAATCCGAGGGTAGCGGATCCAAGGGGGGATGGGGGGGAGGGGGTGTATAGTGTGATGTGTGTATAGTGAACTTAGTTGAAGTATTATATCTTCTCCAGTACAGAGATGAGAATGACTCAGATGAGATGAGTGTGTCCAGAGGTTGTGAGTGTGTTCCCCCCATGACATTCATCACAGTCATCAAAACAAACACAGGGATGTTAATGGTACGTTGGAAAATGTATCATCATTTACAAATGAGAATAGCGAACTTTTGGTTGGAAGTGACATTTTATATTTGTCTAAACATGTCATGTTAATGTGGGGCAAATAACGACAAAAACATTTAATTTTCAGTGGAACTTACTGCTTATAAGCATTTTCACAGTGAGACATTGCTCACTATTTCTGTATTCATTAATGGTTACTGTCACAGCCTGTTTCCACACTTAATGAATGGTAATTTCAGATGACAACAGAAACTTTCTTTCGCAATTATTTTCAGAAAGCAATAGATTTATAGGCTAAAAAAAAAAAAAAATGTGTGAACTGATAATTTTTTCCAGAATGCCTCAAAAATATGCAGATTGTCATACATTGTGACAATATATTGTGTGCAGATTGTGACTAGTCAGTGACTTTTCATGCAGTCACTAAAATTTTCCTCATGATTTATTGTGATGAATACTTAATTGTATGGCAGGGTAACTATACTGCGTTATGTTTATGGTCTGAGATGCATACATTTAAAGCCAGCATTCTCCAAAGCTCGAGGAGATGATTGTTCACTGGCCTGTGCTTTTGGTATTGTCCACTGAAATTGAAGATCACAACAGTAACATTTGGCTGAAAAATTGCTTTGTGTCTTGAAGTAAACTGCAATTTCTCCTGCTGAGTTTCCTTACAAGGAGAGTCTTTGCAGGTAAACAGGGATAATTGTAAGCTTTCTGACAATTTTTCAGGTCAAAAGAGTCAACAATAGGTGAGTCCATTTTGCTTTTGTATGGTTTTCTAGTTTTTCTGAACTGTTTGTAAAAGTCTATGCAGCCCCATAAATCTGAAGACAATGTTGCACAACCTAATTTTTTTTTATTGTAAACAGGCCTGGAAAGTGTTGTATGGTTGTCAGCTGAATGGCATGCATTCTTAGGATACTTGCTTTGAAAACCTCATTACTGAACATCCAGGCCAGAGGGCAGTCATTTTACTTAAAGGGCACCTATTATGGAAAATTCACTTTTACATGGTGTTTTAACATAAATGTGTGTTTGCAGTGTGTGAGCAAAACCACCCTAAAATGATAAAAATCCACCCAGTGTTTTTTTTTTACAATCTCAATAAATCATATGCACTGTCTCAGAACGAGCTGTTCTAAGATTCAGCGCTTTGTGGCGTAGAATTGAGCAAGGGGTTTGATTGACAGTGTGGTTGTGGCATAGACCCCGCCCTCAGTGATCTGTATACCATCCTCCGTTGTTTCAACGACAGCCGGTAATGTCTCCTAGAATCATAAGTGTTCTGTTGTGGGATGGGATGTAATAATGACATAAATAGTAGTTTTCACTTATTTCCGACATCAGAGCCACTGAAAACACAGAGGATGTATTGTATTTTGGAAGTTTAAGTGGCGCCTTTCCTTCGTAAATAAGTTTATGTTTGAGAGAATCATTTTCTGACTGACTGTTTTGTGAACGAGGGTCAATTCAAAGCAGGTCTTGCTTCAAAGTTAATCCTCAAGTGTGGATCAAAGTTAATCCTCAAGCTTCAAAGTTAATCCTCAAGTGTGAAGTGTGTGTGTGTTGCACATCCATAATTTCAAAGGGGACGCAATTACAATTATAAGTACATATATCAAATAACCATACCGAGACGTACTGGTCCATTCTCCTTTGTGTTTATTCTGCCGGAGTCTCTTCGTCATCTGGGTCTGATCAGAGACTATTTATATATTCCGATTCAAACATGTATGGCTGAATGACATTCAAAACAGTGGGTCTCTCACTCTCTCAGCCCTTCTGCTTACTGACTGCCATAGGTATCAAGTTACGCCCTCATCCAAAGGCAGGGGCGAGGACATGCAGCTCAATTGCATTTAAGGTGGTATACACCAAAACAGCTCATTTTAAAACAGGCCCCAAAAATGACATTTCCAAATGGTTTTAATAAATTAACTATGGGGTATTTTGAGCTGTAACTTCACAAATACATTCTGGGAACACCCGAGACCAATATTACATCTTGTAAAAAGGGGCATAATAGGTGCCCTTTAAAGCAATATTCAAGCTTTAAGTAAAGGGACAGTTTTCGTAAATGATAATTTAATGGTTTTTGCATTCACCATATATGGAAAAGAGCAACTTAAAAATTCTTCAAAGTAACACCAGTATTGAATAACATGAAGGTGAGTAAATGATCTTCGTTCTGTCCGAATTTGTATAACTATCCCTTTTAACACGTATAAAGTCTTATTATGGTTATACTTTCAAAACTGTATATTTCTATGTTTATTCTGGAGTAATGCCTTGCCTTAAAAAAGTAATGACTTGCCTTGTAAGTGGAATACTGTAAACAATTTTTGAAGGGCAAATCAAATGTGCGTTTAAGAGTTGTATCAGACATTTCTTTAAAAATACCTTTATAGTGTACAGTAAAGTGTAACAAAACTTGTCTTTATTACCCCTAGAATGAGCTCCATGACCCTTGTGCGCTTTCTGTCCTGTTGTTGGACCTCTCTAATGGAACGTAATGCATGAGCACTTCCCAAACCAAAACAGAAGGAGGGAGCAGACAGAGGAAGTGTCAGAAACATACAGACAGCTGCCTCAGAGGCCTCAAACGCGAGCTCCGCTGAGGATAACATAAGCGGCCTGTTTGCATAAGATGTTCTGGGAGGTTACTCACAGACTCTGGGGATGCAGTGAGGAGATAGACCGTTTGGATCCCTGCCACCTCCACACTCTCAATTACAGCGTTTGGCTGGGCCACTTCTGGCTGGCCGCGAAAAAGAGGCCTCCGCCAGACGGTCTGGGAGCAGCAGCCATGCAGCGGTAAACCAGACGTAGATCACCTACACTTCCTCTGGCTTCTCGCGCTGCAGCAAACACGGTCTAGTCAAAATAATAGCGTATGTTTCTTTTTGAGTTCTCAGACAATGTGTAAATATACTCACATCAGATGGAGACAGAAGGACAAAAACAATAATTCTGCTCATGAACAGGAAACATACCCATGTCAGAAAACATTGTGGTTATCGGCCTCCGTTACACAGCAGCACCAAAATACTAAAAGTTACATAGGACAAAGCACATGAGATGATGAAATATAATGTTGCTCAACAAGGATAACATCATTCCCATTTGTTATCGCTTACTGTAAGTACTCCAGAGTTCATTTCATTACTCATCCTGTGGTTTTCACTGATTTGCCTGCCATGAAGAGGTTTAAAGTGGGGGATGTAAAAAACTAATAATAAAAGCCCCTTCAAATTTAAGTTGGACTAGAAGTCTAAATTCTAATGTACTTCAAAAGATTTACTCTTTCATTTGGACCTATAATCATTTATATTCTTGGTATAAACAGTAGTTACGTTAACTCCCTCAAAATTCATAGTGGTCAACTGGTTTGTTTTTTAAATGTGGGTTCTTGAATTATTGCAATAGTTCCCCCTTAATTTTGAATGATGAAATTAAATTATTGACATTAAATACTTCCGTTTCACTGCTAGTAATCCAAATATTTATATCATCGTAGGACAATTTCTGCTTTCTGACAGATTGTTACACTTACAAAATATGCCTTAAGAGTAAATGACCTCACAGTTCATGCTGTGGTGCAATTTATATAGTTTGACAACTGTTAAATGAGCTTTGAATGCTAAAGGGGGGAAATTATTCTCTAGCTAATCAGTGGTCTTGAGACATTATTTCTCTCATTACCCCTAATGTAAGACAATCTCATCTCCTCAAAGAACACAAAACGTATTTTTCATTTTCAGGAACTGGTGTGTAGATGATTTACAAGAATTTGGAGCCCAAAGGCAAAAGATCATCATGTCCTTGTTCTTTTCAGAGGTTCAGACTAAATTTCCCTGGAGATTTTCTGACAGTATTGACTGTCTGTTACGCACATTGTATTAAGCAATACTAGCCTGACTTCGTCATACGGCGTTCGGGCTGGCATCCAGGCTAAAGCAATACATTTATGTGTTGATGATTTGACTGATTGGCCATTATTTTAAATCAAAAAAGCAAATATAACTAAGGTTATTATATTTATTTGCTATGTGCTTTTGAGTGGGTATTTTAAAGGTAGGGTAGGCAATTTCAGAGAGGCTAGCAATAGCAAGCTAGCTTTGAAAGAATTAGATCCCATCCTCCCTTTAGAGCACTCATAAATGCACATGACAGTCTGCAAAGCGGCACGAGACAAGAGATGGCGTTTAATTACCTCATGTCTCAAAGCACATAACATTACAATAATGATGAACGTAACGACTTACAGAGCTTTTACTTTTACCACCTGACTGCTGCAGTTTCATTTCGGCGTTGATAGTATTGACATAGAAATACATAAATACGAGTCTGAGGACGTGAACAGCTCCAGATTGTCCTGAGAACATCACACCACAGGTTACCAATGACAACTGGAAATTATAGTTACGATATGGTGTGAATGCAGCATAAGCTTGTTTTTGTTTCAGGAGGCACTGTAAAATATTTTACTTTTTGTTTGTGGAGCTGTGTGTTTACAAATCTGCATCTGCATAGAAATGCACTGATGATGTGTGTCTGCATGAGTAAGGTGCGTGTAGGTATGCAAATACATGTCAAAAGGCAGGTAGGAATATGGTGTCATTGCATTTAGACCGAATTGGATGAAATTGTTTTTTTTTTTTTTTTTTTTTTTGTCTAAAGACTTCCACAGAAGATATACGTATGTACATGTTTAATACACAACTATCATTGATAGCTATCAGGATGTGAAGACGGTTCCAACCAGTATAACAAAAAGTGTTTATAAAACAAATTGCCGACCCTACCTCTAACTAAACTTTGTGTTTTATATGACAGCTGAAATTGTGTTAGTGGAATGTGTAATTAATATATAATTATTATACCAGCAAAATAATTTACAGGTAACGTTCCACTACTCTCGTATAAGAAAATTTTGATAATGCACTGTATGTGTAATATTTAGCTCACTTTAGAAAAAGAACAGTACTTTGGTAGTATTTAACCAATTTCTGTTTATATGAGTAGCTTTCATTTTTCAGCTAATCTTTTCATTCATAAGTGCATACCTGTACTTCGTTTTGTGCCTCTTTTGTTTATTTTCTGCTCTCACGTCACAACATGGGAAGACATATTGTGTTAACACCATAACTACCAACAAATAGTTCCTGGTGAAAGACATTTTTGCGATGTGGCATATCCTACACTCCCCCTCTGACCACGGCTGTCCGTCTGAAACCACCTCGCCATGGTCATTGTCCAAATGAAATACACAGGCTGACCTCAAGCCAGACCACATTTCACACCAGCAGAGTCGACAACGCTCTTGGCCTCTCAATGGGTAATTGCCTGTATCAACAACAGTCTAGTTTAACACAATGAAACACTGAACTCTGAGGGTCTTTAAAGACATTGAACTTGAGCATCTGAACTCTGCATTGCTGACAAAGTGTGCCAAATAATGCAACCATGATATTTTGCTTGCATTGAGATTGCTCTTCCACTTTTTGAATTACAAATATAATTAGTTAGGCTATACAATGAACAAATATGGATAATAATTGGCTGCATATTTCTGCATTATTAAAACAAATACAACAACAGGCAAATCCAGTATAGAGCTATAACAAAACTAAACTAAACAAAGTTTTGCTGCCATCTATTGGCACAATAGCTGCATCCTAAGAATTAAAGAGCTGCTTGAAAATCTACTACTTCACATAGCTGCATGTTTTTTACACAAACCTTTATATCTTTCAAACCATTTTATATAATCTATGCCATTTGGATATATTGAGGATACTGTTGATAATAGCTTTTATTTTCTTTTGTGTGTTGTTTTTAATTTGACACAGCAACTCTTTTTTTTATGTCAATTGACTTTATCCACAGCTGCACTACTTCCTGAACTTAAGCCAGCTCCTTGTTTCCTGTCTGCCATTATTGGCCAAACTTGATTAATTCAGGTGTGTTTGATTATTGTTGCCGTGACAACTGAGGTCAGGCACACCTGGATTAATCAATTTGTCCAATAATGGCAGAAACAAGGAGCTGGCTTAATTTCAGGAAGTACATCAATGAACAACATCTACGAAAAGTTTCAGTCTGGATTCAGGCCACATCATAGCACTGAAACTGCGCTTGTTAGAATCACAAATGATCTACTTCTAGCTTCGGACCAAGGCTGTCTCTCAATACTTTACTTGATCTTACCGCTGCGTTTGATAGATCACACAATACTCCTAGATCGACCACAGAACTACACTGGTGTTCAAGGACAAGCATTAAGCTGGTTCAAGTCATACTTATCTGTCCACTACCATTTCGTCTGCTTAAATGGAGAAAAATCGACCATAACTTCGTCAAACTATGGAGTGCCGCAGGGATCTGTGTTAGGCCCTCTATTATTCTCAGTATATATGCTGCCACTTGGTAATATTATAAGGAAACATGGAATTATTTTCCATTGTTATGCTGATGACACTCATATAAAAGATTGGATGACGCATAATTTTCTTCTATTAAATCCAGACAAGACAGAGGTAATACTTATCGGTTCTAAAAACCGTCCACAAAACCTTTCGCAGCACGATTTTAACATTTTAGCATGTCCTGTTACTTTATCCACTACAGTAAAAGACCTGGGTGTTATATTAGACTGCAACCTGTCTTTTGAAAAGCATATTTAATATGCTTCAAAAACAGCCTTTTTCCACCTTAGAAACATTGCTAAGCTACGTAACATGCTATCTGTCTCTGATGCAGAGAGGTTAGTTCATGCATTCATGACCTCGAGACTAGATTACTGTAATGCTTTATTAGCCGGTTGTCATGCATCCTCAATAAGCAAGCTACAGTTAGTCCAAAATGCAGCTGCTAGAGTTCTCACTAGGTCAAGAAAATATGATCATCGTTTTTTTTTTTTTTCTCCATTGGGTGATCTGATGGAGTTTTTCGGTTCCTTGCCACTGTTGCCTTTGGCTTGCTCAGTTGGGGATATTCAAATATTCAAATTAAATGACCCATCATACCATTGATCAGCTCTACCAATCTTGATTGTCTTTTTTCATGAATAAACAAACACTGTTATGTTGTCTTGATTGATACTGTGAAGCAGCTTTGATAGGCTACAATCTGTATTGTGAAAAGCGCTATATAGGCTAAATATATTTGACTTGACTTGACTTGAAGTAGTGCAGCTGTGCATAAAGCCAATTGTAGTCCATTCACAGGCTAGGGGTCAGTCAGCTTAGCCAGCCATGCAGAGGGGTAAGATGAACCATCTGTTCCTTGTCCAAATACTTTTTCATCTGTCCAGATATCTATGCTGAAATGGGAACGCATCAGGCAGGAGAACAAGAACGAGACTTCCTCTGGTAAGTGTCAGAAAATGTATTTTCAAGATAACATATCAGTGTGTCGTTTTAGGTTTAACTTTTTATTGGATTTGTATAACTCCAGTTTAAACCACTGGGTGTCAGTATCAGAACTTTACATTTAGGCTTACATTTTTAGAGACGTTTGTGTAAATGGAACAGTCAGAGCAATGAACAAAACAAAACAAAAGTTAGTGCTTATTGTCCATAGACGGTATTGATTTTTTATAGACATGATTATTGTGCATTCAAATTAAGTGCATATGAAGAGTTCAGATGCAAAAGCCTCTAAGTGCCATTTGAAATTCTCTTCTAGAATAATCATTTTTATCAAGCTTGTATATTTAAATTCAGTAATTTCACTTAAATGGCAATTCATAGGTAATCTTCATTGCCATTTAACTAAAATTACTGAACTTAAATATACAAGCTTGATAAAAATTAACATTCTTGAAGAAAAATTCAAATGGCATTTAGAGGCTTTTGCATCTGAACTCTTCATATATATATACATATATATATAAAACGCAATGTGAATCTCGTATGTAGGCCCGCTCCGTGTAGGCAACAGAATATAACGGGTTAGCCTTGAAACTCGTGTGTAGTGCTGTATATACTGCAACTGTAAGAACGATCGCTGGAGAGGGGAGGGTAACTTACATGTGAAATCTGTGTTTTGGAACAGAGCCGTGGATATGGCAGTAATGAAGGCCAGGAGCATCTGGCCGACTGTGAATGGCTGATTGCTGAAGATGTGAGGGTGTGTCCTCTCTCCAGAGACACGTGAGAGTGACGCCGGATTGGACGATCTGTTTGCGGAGGGCGTGGTGTGTGCCTGATCTGAGCCGGAGGAGGAGGACGAGGAGTAGAGACACAGGAGGAGGGAGATTACTCTCGTTCCCACCACACCCTGCCAGGCCGAGGAGGACCGACAAACACACAATGTTTCACTCAAGACTTTGAGTGTGTGTTTTACAGTGGAATACTAACTACTCTACAAAACATTGTAGTGAGCACTTATCTGCAGAAAAAAAACATCTTAAATTGGTTTGAGAGAACTTTTGCTAATTGGCTGACCAGGCTGGGAGATCTTACACAAGTCGGGTTGGTTTGAGTTTTTACAGCAGTGATTTCATCTTAAAGTCAGTTGTTTATACTATGAACAAATAAGACCTTGTATTTTTAATTGACTTTAAAAGAGTTCATTGGAACATAATGTAAGACTATAAACAGTTTATTCTGTTTTCTCTCATTCCAGCATTTTCCTCTCCAACATCAACCCTTCTGTCTGAAGTGTGAGGGTCATTTAGAATATTGGAGCTCTCTGTCACAAATCCCTTTTCATGAGGAGGCAGAACAAACACAATATATATTATTAATATGGAAGGTTGCAAAAAGGACACGTTTACTAAAATCACAATGATAGACTTAAAACATGTGGTTTAATTGTATAAAAACATTTTCAATCAAAGTAAAAGGTGAAGTATACATTTATTCACATGGCTCTTAAAGTGGTTGAATAAAATGTCACATCTTTAGACATACACTATTTTTCTTCTAGTATAAGTGATGTGAAACAGATTTAGAGAGAAAACAATGCTCTCATTCACTTAAAATAATCCATTATTGAAATAATTATAAAACACAAACAGAAATCTCATTCATGTGGCCACATTGATATGGTAATTATATTGCTAAGTAAATTACAATGCAGTTCTGTGTAAAGGGCAGAGTAAAATTAGCATAGACAATGCAAGTGGAGATTACAGTCTAGGCAATATTTCTCCATTTTCTGACATACAATTTGTACGTCATTAACTTATATAAATAAACAGATATTCATTGAGCGGCCTGTTGAAATGGACACTTTCATTTGGCTTTGTTTTGTCATGCATTTGTCTCATTTATGCTTAATTCTTCAATGATTGTCACAATAAATTTAAAAAGTCAATCTTTATGACTTGTGTCAAAATAGAAAAAAAAATCACAAAGACAATATGCTCAGAGTCAGCTAAACAGCTCTTGTCACCAAACTAACAACAAAATCTATACATTAAAATGTAGGTTTAATATTTCAGACAGTGCATAAGGTGGACACTCAAATCAGTTTGTGTTCTGTGTTGTGATGTTCTGTCCACCTGGTTAAGTATGCTGTACATTTGACAGCTTCAAATGAACCTTTTTCCATTGCCATTTCACATTTTATACTTCATTAGATTATGCATTTACATCCTGAAAACCTATATGTGCAGTTTGTAGATGTGATTGTCATAACAATTTGAATGATCTGAAATGCACATCAGGTTAATGATAAACTTTTCTAACCACCAATTATTTCATTTAAGTACAGTAACATTTTCCAGTCAGAAGTCACCCCCAGAATAGATGCTCATCCTGCATGCTGGTTAATTTGAACCTGGAGCCAACCAGGTGCACATTCATTGCAGGGGAGTGTTGGGCCAGGACATTATCCCAGAGTGGGATACCATCCCGAATGAAGAAGAAACGAAGCAGAAGAAGAAATAAGAACAAAATCTTCTTGCACCTGGAATCTTCTCTAGGACCGCCTGTCTCCATTTTTAGTCTTGAGAACAACTAAGACCACCATGGCAGGAATTAGGCATATGGGGGTCATGACCAGGGCAAGGATGATGCCGGGAGGGGGGTCCCTCAGTGCCTCTGTGGGGCATTCTTGAAAATAGGCGGTGTGGATTACCACAAACATGTTTTCAACAAACGTATTCGGCCAGGGAATCAGCAGACATTCAGCAGCAATCTCAGTACACACAGTGAAATTGTTGTATGCACTGCCAGAGAAACAGACAGAAAGAAAGTCACCAATAACTATCAAGCACATACAGTATTATATGGCATTTGATAATGAATCCTTAGAAAGTACCTTTTTACTCTCTCCAAAGAACACCAGTCAGTACTGTTTATAGATCCCATAGACGCATTGAAATGATATGTACAAATGTGCACCAGAACTTCATAGCATCCTTGAGTTTTCAATGAACTGTTCACACATAATGAACAGTATGCCTCACAGATGCTCATGTTAGCACAGCCTGTGATGTAAATGAAATAATAACAGTGAGTGATTAAGTCATGTGAATTATCCTGTCATAATGTCGTTTTGCATAATGTATCTTTTAGGTGTCACAGTCAAGTTGATATAAATAAAGTTGGCAATTATCTCTTAAGCTATTTTGACAAGTAATGCAGCCTACATACCAAATGTTCCCCCATCTCCAAGGCCAGGATCTAAAAAAATATAAGTACATCTTATATCATCATTAAGTTCATCCTACATCATATTCTAGATTAACCGTTTGTGACATCTTCATCCTTCAAGCACAGACTTCTCATGCACTGCATAGTGTCTAATTCAGGTTACATGAAAGCTAAAAGTTATAGCTGAAGCTGAAGTATATCGACGCACACAAAACTTACCACAGAGAAAAGACAGAAAGACGCCAAAGAAGCTGAAGGTTACCCTCATATCAGAGCAAACGAACGCTGGCGAGATGATCGAAACCCGCCACTGAATGTGCCTGAACTTTTACACCAAAGAGCGCGAGGCATAACAGGAAACGCGGCGGGTGGAAGCGTGATGCGCCGTATCCACATGTGGAACGGGGGTTACCAGATGTTCAGATTTAGAAAGCTGCTGACCGAAAAAGCTTTAATTTTCCCACGTAATAATGCTCCACCCCCCCCCCCACCCTCTCCCTCCAACTCTCTCTCTCTCCCCCCTCTCTCTATCCCTCCCTCCATCTCTCTCTCTCCCTCTCCCCCTCTCTCTCTCTTTCTCTCTCCCCCTCTTGTCAGACTGGAACAAAGGGGAACTAAAACTTTTATACAATTTTAATACTAAATACAATACTAAGAACTAAATACAATTTTCAATTCAATTAAGGAGGCATACAATCCATTAATTAGCCATATTAAAGCTCCCGTTCTTCGTGATCCCATTTTTCAAACTTTAGTTAGTGTGTAATGTTGTTGTTAGAGTATAAATAATATCTGTAAAATTATAAAGCTCAAAGTTTAATGCCAAGCATTGCCAAGCCTATATCAAATGCACCTGTACGTACGTAGCTCATAGCCAATCGTTTCAATTATACAAGATGACGTATGTAGAGCGAAATAAATTAGACAAAGAAGATGATGGGTCTGTGATTTATCTACGTTCTAATCTACTTAGAACACTATTTTAGGATGCATCGATAAGGTAACTTCACGTCTGCTGCCATATTTGATCCGTAGGTATAAACAAACTGGCGTGTCGCATAGACATGGTCATGGTCATTTCTTTTCTTCCTTGTAGGCCAGAACGAGAATTCCTTAGATTTCCACGACGCATGCGCGAGATTTGCGATCTGCTCACACCAGCTTAGATCGCAATTCTCGCGCATGCGTCGTGGAAATCTATAAGGAAGTCTCGTTCTGGCCTACAAGGAAGAAAAGAAATAGTCGAATAAACTCGTTATTTTTGTTTGTTTTTTCGCACAAAAAGTATTCGCGTCGCTTGATAAACATATAGTTGAGCCACGGTAGTCACTTGGGATATTTAAACATTTTCTTCATTGACTTTTTGGGCCGTCAAGAGGCAGTCCCTTAGGAGCCAATGTGGTAGTTATACAGCTCTCAAATTTAATCAAAAATATCTTCATTTGTGTTCCGAAGACGAACGAAGGTCTTACGGGGTTGGTACAGCATGGGGGTGAGTAATTAATGACTTAATTTTCATTTTTGGGTGAACTAACCCTTTAATAAAATCGCGCTACGTAAAGGGGGAAACCCAGGCTAATTGATTACAAAACTCTTAATGTTTATACCTACTTGTGTCTCACAACAATCCTTCACAAGTAAGCTGTTATTGCCTCATTCTTGCTCATTTGGAGTTGGGCAGTATTGTAATTCTTAAATGTGTTTTTGACAAAGAATCTCTTCATGTGAGTAATCAGCTCAGGAATCGGGACTACACGGCTCTGCTGTATTTTTCTGATTCACTTAAACGAAACATAAGGGCAGCTAGCTCACACAGGACTGCAGACCTGATTTGTGGTGCTCACTAACTTACACAAGGTTTCTTTCTAGCTAGACTTGTTTTATTCACTAATGTTTTCAGTGGCAAATTTTGCTTTTTGTTCCATTTGCCTAAAAGGTAGGATAGCATTTTTTAAAAAACATTCTAGTGAAAACATTGTTCAAAATGACCAACTTTTTATAAAGTTTTTAGAGGTCTAAGTTTCCCAGCGGGCACTGGACATGGACAACAACAACAAAAAAAAAAAACATTACAAGATCAGTCATTTCAAACCAGTTTGAAGTTATTCGGTCATACGTGTGCACAAAAGTTCTAATTGAGAATTAACAGGTTTAGATGTTGATGTTTTATTGAAAATAACAGCTTGAGTCAACATTTTGGTGATCAGTGTTTGCTTTAGTTGGGTTTCTCTTGACCTTAACATTAGTTGTTGTCTGGTTGTTGTAACTATGCTTGTCATGGCCAGAACAGCCAGAGAAAATGTGATCAGAGAATGTTGGCTATTTGTTGGTGATACAGCTATAATCATCAAATACACTGATGTCATCCAAAAGCTAATCTTTGATAGATGTTATTAATTTTACAATAAACCTGCAATAGGTTTAGTAGTCCAGGATGAGATACAGCAGTTCTATAATTAGATATTCTGAAGGATTAAAAAAACGCCGGGTTGTCATCTGCCGTCGTCTTTTCATAGCAGCACTCAAACTACACAAAACAATACCGACAAGGTGTACAAACTACAAGATATTTGGTCAAGAGGCCTTACAGCGCAAGAAAACTCTTTCTCACATAAATAAATGCGAGAAATTCGTGCAAGTGATTACGAGATTTTTTCGATTTTACTATCTGCACTGTGATTTGCTGCCATGGATTTGTTCCACCTTGAGTGGTGCAGTATGAAATCACGTTGAAAAACACAGAAACGAGTTAGCATTTTAGATCTTCTGGTTCCATCGTCTCGAAGTCAATAGGTTTGTTGGTTAAAGTGCTGAAATAAGGTCTGTGGTGAAGACAAGACACGTTCACGTTTTATGACATAAAATCATTATCCCAAGCTGTTACGTGTCTTGATAAAGGCGGAACTAACAAGTGGCTAAATGGGACAACAGAGCCTGCCGAGGAGATTAAAAGTCATCACGCCGAAAAGGGAATCTCAGTCCCCCTTTACAGCATTATAATTGTGCTCTTACACTTTATCTGTTGTGTAATACAACAAGTTGGAACTAATCTAGCCAATCACAGTGCAGATGGTATAAACGTAAAAACGTTGAAATCATATTCATAATTTTCTCACGTGAGAACGTTTTTTTTTTGCTGTTGGTTTGCTTTGGTTACCTCTTGACCAAGGCTGTATCTGAAATCGCATTCTTCCCTATACAGTTGGTGAAAAATGGTATGTCAAACGACAAAAGATGTATGTCCAAATTCAAAGTGGCCTACTCATAAACGAGTAACGTTAGTTGTATTCATAAATGAGTAGCGGATACAGATTTTAATGTCTTGTGGATTGTGCACCTTGTCAGCATTATAGTATGCATGCGCACTGCAATGGCAAGATTACGACAAATGACAAGAATCCTAGTTGTGTAGTGTGAGCTCCACAGCAATTCAGGTAGTCAACAGTCCTGTGTGAGCTTGCTCTTAGTTGAGTTGTGGTGAGTAGTAGAGGGAACTTTAAGAAAGAGGAAAAGATAACTGAGCGTCATGAAAGTCCCTCTTATTTTAATGGAAATGTTTCTGCATATAAGAACTGCTTCTCAGTTCTAGTCTCAGCTCATGTTATTGTAAAGCTCTGTGTTGTTTAAAGGATAGCTGTTTCCCTGAGGCGCGGATCTTTTCTGAGCCGAGCACACCCAGGCCAGATGCACATCTGCAAACGGGTCTCCCCCTTTAAAAAAACACTCTGTTTCTCTCAGGTTGATTCCTCGTCGGCTCAGTGGTTTTGATTTATTTGCATTTTTCGCATCTGTTTCCAAACAGGAAACATAAGTGAACATTTAGAGGCAGAGCAGGGCGGCTTCATGGAACGGACACTTTTAAGAATAACTGGGTCATATTAAACAGATCGAGTTCGGGAAACGATATAATCAGAGTTTGCCATCTGTGCTCGAAGGGCTGCACTTTTGGTTTAAGACCAGCTGTGATTGAAACAAACTCTCAACTCACTCACTTCAAAGTAAGAGAAAGGGGCGAATCCAACTGAGGGCTGGAACAGTTTATGTAACACTTCTGTGTTTTTGGATCTCATGTTGACCATGTGAGTTTGTCTTCAATCGGTACCAATAGAGTTTACTCTACAGGAAACCATTTAGTGTAGTAGGCCTACTGTCTTTTTTAATTAAGTTTTGATCCTTCAGGATTTTTTTGCCTTTCCGTCACTTTAAGACAATGCTTCCCCGCCATTGACGAAATTTTCCCGCTTTCCGTGTTTTCACTGTTATACGGTAGGGGGCGCTATGAAACATCTTCTGAAAGAGTAGCCTACTGAATCTCCTGATCAAAACAAAGGTGAAAAAAAGTGTAATATAATCATATGTATATGTAAATCATGTAAATATGAAGAGTTCAGATACAAAAGCCTCTAAGTGCCATTTGAAATTTTCTGATCATTGAATGATCATTTTTATCAAGCTTGTATATTTAAGTTCAGTGATTTCACTTAAATTGCAATGATAATTACCTAATAATTGTTATTTAAGTGAAATTACTGAACTTAAATATACAAGTTTGACAAAAATCATCATTAAAGAAGAAAATTTCAAATGGCATTTAGAGGCTTTTGCATCTGAACTCTTCATATGTAGATCATCAACAATAAACAGCATAAAACTGCCTAGCATTACTGAATGAAATGTCGACCCAGGATAAGGACTGTAAAGCTTTGGGGGTGTTGATGGACTCGATCTATTCCATCTATATTTTGATCATCGTTCTGAATCCGATCTGGACAAAGTCTTTGACAAAATCGTTATTTTCTCAGCTTTTTGCTCAAAATTTTACCTTTTTAAACGTCCTACAATACCGCAGGACTGCAAAAAGAGTGGATCACGATCCTGTGAAGCATTGCAAATGACATGACAGTCTCCCTACAACATCAAACAATATATATTTTAAAAATGTATATTTTTGCAATAAGCGTCACATATATTTTTACTTGGAATGAATGACTTATTGTTATAGTTTTAATTTACTGTTTTATTTTATTCAGTTGCCATCCACAAAGCTATTCATGGGATAGGCATTTCGTAGCCTACATATGAGTTTTTCTATCTTAAAATAATTTTTTACTTCAAACTAAAGTTGTTAAGATTCAATTTAGAGCTGGTTGGTTTGGTTTGGTTTATATTAAAGAAATGCTTTTTAGAGCTTTAGATAGAATCAAAGGTAGAATCAAATATTTCTATATATAAATAAATAACTCTTAAGAGGTGAGAATGAAGACCAAATAAGGACTTTCCTTTGTATGTGTATTTATGAAAGCAAACAACAGAGAAAGACAAAATTTATTTATGTGAATATGCTTTAGCTATAGCATGCCGTGCTGTAAACGTCACGTGTGTGACACTCACAGAACAATGCAGTCTTTGTTTCTGTTTTTGGATCCTTACAACAGGCCAGTCTAAATCTCCCCTGTGCCCATGTGTTTATCCAAATATCAAACTAAAGCAGTTGGTTTATTCTTCGTTCCAGAGACTCTCCCATGAATATAAATATTAGGGGAAAAAATCTGATTGAAAGTGTCAACAAAATCTCTCACCGCAGCGTAGACAATCTTTACACCATTATTATGCTGTTACTTACAGTATTGCACTGAATTGTCTGCTATTCTTTGTTATACGCGTGGCATATATCAGCTGCTCAAAATGGACTCAACTGAATACAACTTCACAGTATGGTTTATTTGGACATACAACTCAGAAAAACAAAAAATTAGCAACATCTGTCATATTTATACAGCTGTATCCCTCACCTGCTCTGGTGTAGGCAGTGGTTTGTAATTCTGTCGGTAGAGTTGATGCAGTCGGCCTCTAGGGCACAGAGGACAAATATATTTTTTAGAAAAGACAGAGCATGGGTTTTTTGGTAGCCAATAGAATTCTTAAATAGGACTTTTAAAATGTGCATATTTTTATCAGGGAAAAAATTCAACACAGCTCACTGCAGCATGTTTCTGTTCTTTTTGTACCTGGGTCTGCAGAGTTGAGACCATTAGATACAGACAGACTATAATGAAAAAGAAACTTTGTGTTATACACATGAATCACACTTAAATTCAAAAACGCACAGGCATTTATTCATCATTATAAGACCAGCGATTCCAGCATTAGGGGAATATTGACAGGAATGGAAAAAGATGCAGGAAGGGAGGAGATGAAGGGAGATGAAGTGCACATCCTCCCTTTGTCTTGTCCAGTTGGATCATTAAAGTCATTTCCTCAGAAGTGTTCTAATCCCTTATTTATCTATATCTACCAAAACAGAAATTTAAAGCATAATTCTGAAGAGGTCAACAGCCTCATTTATCTACACGATATTCCATTAGGCTTTTCTTGGTCACGAGGGCAAAAATGTAAAATATGGCTACATTTAAAATACAATTCAATATGATATATATTGTCCATTGAACTGTTTCTAATGAAAAATTTAGAACAATAATTCCGGCGTGATCTCTAGTGGAATATATTTCTGGTATCGCCACTAATGTTATATTTTTCAATTATATTTTTATATTGATACATTTAGACTACTATATATGAAGAGTTCAGATGCAAAAGCCTCTAAATGCCATTTGAAATTTTCTTCTTTAATGATGATTTTTTATCAAACTTGTATATTTAAGTTCAGTAATTTCACTTAAATAACAATTAATAGGTAATTATCATTGTCATATAAGTGAAATTACTGAACTTAAATATACAAGTTTGATAAAAATCATCATTAAAGAAGAAAATTTCAAATGGCATTTAGAGGCTTTTGCATCTGAACTCTTCATATATATATATATATATATATATGTATACGTATACACACACACACACACACACACACACACACACACACACACACACACACACACACACACACATTAGAGTTCACATCAGAATTGTTGTTCAATTTCTTTTAATTAGAAACAGTTCAAATTAAATGTTTAGACCATTTTCTCTTGGAGAATGCCTCTGATTTTAAGTTCCAAGCACATAAAAACAAACTTTTATTCTGAAGGTTCAGATCTTACCCAAAAACAGAAGAGTCCCATGTGGTTTTGAAGCTATAGACATGAGCGCCATTATGCTTTAATCCTGGGATCCTGTCTGTCTGTCCACCTCAGCTTGCACACATCACATGTATGAGCTCTTCAACAGGAAGACTCTATTAAAACAACAGGATGTGCTCATTTCCTTAAAGGGGTGGTGAATTCATACATGGAGAGACATTACAGATAGAGTGGGCTGTCTAATATATTCCAATGTTGCCATCATTTTTCTCCCTGAATTTCCCTTGAACTCATATTCTCCCTTGCCCCCTCTCACTCTTAGGATTTATCTGCATTGTGTACATGGACCTTTCTAATGATTTATGCCCACCATTTTAGGCATTTTTCTTTTTGTGTTTTAATAATTCCTGATTATTCAAATCACTTTTCAAACTCTACCAAACATTTCTGGCTCTTCCAAACATGTCTACTGATACTAAAGTGTGTGGGGATACATAAAGTCAGTGTGTTTGTCACTGCACACCTTTGTATAACAGCATTTTTGTCGTTTGTGTACATTCATTTGTGGGTGTTGTATGTATGTTTTTCCTCTACAGTAACACCACTCGAGAGTGGAAGGACTTCAAAATCAACAAAGTATGACCCCGATTTTACTTTTAGCCAACTTGAGTTTAATTCATTTGTTTATCATGTAGTGTAGAGTATGACCGATTGGCATTTATTCAGAACTGAGGAAACAGTGCGGAAATGAATTAATCTGAGGGTTGTTCCATAAAGGCCGCTTAGAAAAGTGGGGATTAAAGTCTAACACCTGACTTGAATGAACCGAACTAATCAGCTAATCATCATAACACGAGAGAAAGGCTGGCAGCGTCTGAATCCATTCACTCTCAGAAAAAAAGGTACGAAAGCTGTCACTGGGGCGGTACCTTTTCAAAAGGTACACTTTTGTACCTAAAGGGTGCATATTGGTACATATTTGTACAATTATAGTACCAATATGCACCCTTTAGGTATAAAAGTGTACCTTTTTGAAAAGGTACCGCCCCAGTGACAGCTTTTGTACCTTTTTTTCTGACAGTGTTCCACCTATGAGGAATTAAAAACGCTTTTTTTCTTTTTTTAATTCTTGAATGAATAATCAAATCTTTTGGTTTCATAGTGATGCCAAATTCTGTGTGCTTGCTGGATCCACCAGACATCATGCTGAACCCTGTGAGTATGACAGAGTATAACAAGAGGCCTGAAGTATAGGCACATTAGCTATATATTTAAAAGCCTACCTGTGAGGTGCTAATATTGTGTTTTTCCCCTATTATTATTATTGGCTGCAGGATGCTGACACCCTTCTAGTGCCTTCTCAGTCTGAGACCACATGTGACCAAGTGAGTATTAAGAAATTACAAAAAAAGTGCCTAGAGCACTCAATCAAATAACTTGCATTTCTGTTCAGAACCCAGAAAAGATAAAGGGAGTTTACAAGCACTATCTCCTGAAACAAATTGAAGCCGTAGATGCTGACATACAATATTAAAAAAGTCACGATAAAGTTGGAGCGGGAAATCCAACAGCTACAGAAAAATGCAAGTAGAACTATTTAAAACAATGACCCATACAAACAAAGCTTATCTTCCCCCTATATTGCTTCTGCATGGACAAATAGGCAACACATAATTACATTTTAATAATGACATTTCTTTCAAATATTAAACCCCAACTGGCTTCTGTGGTAGGTCTCACAGTGTTTATTATTGTAGAGTTGAGTAAGCAGCTTCAATCCAGATTGTTTCTTTTAATGTTTCTGGCTGGGATTCGTTTAACCTCAACGGACTCGAGAGGGGGTCTTACACCAGGTGCTTTGGACAGTGAACTCTGCTTCAGTGAGGAGGGGAATGATAAAGACTGATGACAAATCCACCCCCTGAGCATTGGGTCAGAGGAGTGTCTACCCTCGCTATTGACGTACATAGAGCTACACCTCTGCCATTGACGCATGTACACTATGACCACCAGTGGCGTACACTCAGTTCAGCTCAGGAGTGATGCAAGAGGAGAAAGTATCATTCCCTTAGAGTTTATGTGCAAACACAAACACACACACACACACACACACACACACAGCCACAGATGTACAAGTCAACGTCATCTGGCAATCCCCCCTCTCTCACTCAGCTGGACTTGGTCTGGTGCCCTGTGAAGTTCTGACAACCTAAATTACTTCCACATTTGATTCACATTAGTAAGGAGAGGCTTGTTTTTCACCCTTAATTGGTTTGCTCTGTTTATAAAGCAGATTAAGTTAGAGGGACAGAAAACACAGGGTTTATTTAGCAGTTCAGGATACTTACATTTCACAAAATTGGAGCTCCAAAAGGCAAAATCTGAAGACATACTTCCTGATGTAATTATATATTTTGCTCATTATAAGAATAAAATTGATTCAAATTCATGCAAAAAAAAAAAAAAAAAGAATAATACATTCAAAAGACATTTCCCCCCATTGAAACACATGAAAATGCCCCATCAAGTCTGTTGTCCTGTAATGGGATAAGTCAGTTGTTTTCAAAGTGGGTCACGTGTAGTTTGAATTGAATTTATTGACAGGATAGCCCCTTGAGATGTAACGTCTCATTTTCAAGGGGGTCCTAAAAACATAGTTCACGTGGTTCAATCTGTGTAGTCTGATACATGAGACAAATGACTCTTATTAGTCTAATATTTTAATGAATTGTTCAAAAAGACAATCTCAGGAGTTTAGTTTGAATTCTTTAATGAACTCCAAATCTGTGAATATTTAGAGACTGTTCTTCCCCCCCATCTTTTTTATCAAAGGTTATTTGTTTAAAAACTCTTTTAGTTTATTCTTAGCTAAAAACACTTGTGTTTTAAAAATATATGTGCTCATTAATGTATATTTACTTCGTTCAAGTAATAAAGTATTCTCGTGAGTGTATAATATGCCATTGAAAATACATACGGGTAAGGGGTTCTAATGTTGGTCGCAATGTTGCCCCTCCATCTTAAAAGTACATTAGCCAAAGAGAGACATACCCGTAAATTCAAGCTTCGTCTTTCACGTTTACGTTTGAGTTAACAATCATGGATGAGGTCGAACTGGAAGGCATGTTAATCTTGGACTACATTGGACACCGTAGGAGTTAAAACGAAATCGGAATTGAACAGAAACTAATATTCACTGGATGGTCATATACCTTTTCACCGCTAGATGGATGTAAAAATCACACAGTGTAGCGGGTCCTATAGCTTGAATCAGTTTGGGAACCTTAGGTCATTAAAGAGAGAAAATAATTCTAGAGGAATTTAATGGTAATAATGCCACATTATTATCATATAAAATATGTGCAAGATTTTCCTTTTGTTTTCATGTTACAACAGCTTGTACACTTTTGCATTTACATGCTTTAAAGCCTCTGTCTGGAGCTGTTTAACACCATTTCAAATGTCACAGTCCTTATGATATTTCACCTCATCCTGTAAACTCCGACCTCAGAGCAAAGAGCCCATCCCTCAGTACCCCACACACCGGCTGATACTAATCTTCATTTGACGAGCCAAAACCAACATCTGGGTTTACATGGCTCATAATTAAAAACTTTCCACAGATAAGACCTACCTCTTTTGTCAGTCTTTCTGCCTGTGCTTAGTTCTGTTGTGAGGTCCAAGATAAACACCTGACTGGCCCAAGAAAACCCCGTTAGGATGGGCCCATTACTGAGATAAGGGTGTGAGGAAAAATTGTGTTACCACTCTATCTATCACATACTGAACGGATGAGCAATTCCACCTCAACCCTACACTGACAAAAGAAGCTACAACCTGCACATTGCCAGACAGTCTTTAGCCAAGTCTGCATAAGCTCAAACACACACACACACACACACACACACACACACACACACACAGTCACACACACAATGTCAGTATCAGAAAGTTTTAATTGTAAAAGAAAAAAGAATCTAGTACTCGGAGACAGTAAAAACTATCAGCATATGACAAAAACTAATGTTTACACGTCAGAATTTACACTTGTTAAGAGACAGTTCACCCCAAAATGAAAATGTACTCAAATGTATGTTCCAAACCTGCATGACTTTCTTCTGTGAAACACAAAATAAATTAGCTATTTTGAAGAAACAGTTTGGGCATTGACTTCCAATTTATGGACACCCTGAGACAAAATCTTCAAAATGTTCCACAAGAAAGAAATTCATACATTTTGTTTTTGTTTTGTGAACTTGTTTGTCTACATCTACACTACGTCTTTTCTACATGTAGGCTGAGTGTCAAGGTATCACCCTATGCTGGGTATCACATGCACCAAGCATGCAGCAAAAAAGTGCATGCTCCACTACCGTCCCCCTATAAGCTATTAATCTCCGAAACCAAACCAAATATAAATTGTTACTGCTACAACGACAACAAATGTTTTTTTTTTCTTCTTAGTACCCTAATGCCATAGGCAGGGAACATATGGGATATTAAGCCAAAAAAAACATTGAAAATAAAAATCCCCATGTTGTTTCAAACTTGACTTGAAACACAAAGTAGTCCACATTCATTTTTATTGCAAAGCCTATATGGGCTATAAGAGCCTATACTTTCTCATAACATCTCCTTTTGTGTTTCAGGAACGAAAGAAAGTCCGATAGGTTTGGAACAACCTCAACTTCAGTAAGACTTTTTATTTTTGGATAAACTATCGCTTTAAAAAAATAGGACCGAGGTTTAACAAAAAATGGCTATATGGCGACATCTAGCGGTATGAAGTATAAATATCACAACATCTGTCTGTTGAATGCTTTCTTTTATGAATCACACGTGACGTGAGCCAACAAGAAGATAGCAACGTTTAATAGTACAGTAGGCCCTATATTGCTCCTGCTATTAAAATAAATAAATAAATAAAAAATAATAGTAGAGTGATAGCGTAGTAATGCAACTACACAAATTCTGAGTCGCATATATACATGTATGTGTATTGTACATGCCTATATATATATATATACATATATATATATATAGGCTATATATATATATATGAAGAGTTCAGATGCAAAAGCCTCTAAATGCCATTTGAAATTTTCTTCTTTAATGATGATTTTTATCAAACTTGTATATTTAAGTTC